CTTGTCAACAGAAATTCTTGACCCATAGATAATATGCAAGGGTGGGATCTCCAGTTTTGACATTTCATCGTCTCCAGAAGACTTTAAGTAGCATAACATGGGATCAATATTTATCTCTCCATCTCCTGATACAGAGGAGGTTTGATCAGCATTCGTCATCGTCGGTAACTCATTTGTCACATCAGTGACATCCAGATTATTATCAACGTCATCATGATTCCGTTCTGTCAGACAAATCGCGTCGATTCGGTCTGCACTAGTATCCGTAGAGTGGAACTCTTCCATTGCTGTATAACTCATATCACTACATGAAAGAACAGCATTAGTATCGCAATTCGAAACTGATATACTCACTTGTTGTTCTTCATGTTCTGTTTCAGAGACACAAGACATATGCTCATCAATAGCATCGTCATCACACAACACTGTAGACTGGCTGTTACTATCAAACACTTTCTTCTCATCATCACTCGACTGACAGTCAACCGGAATAGGAACAGTTACAGTTGCACAACCTTGTGCATCTTCAATCAACTTAACATTCGTGACGAGGTCCGATGACGCCGAAACACTAGGAGGCTCATTCGATGAAGTTGATCGACTAGTCACTATAAGTGGACTGCTGACACTTTCTGTCTCCTTATTATCGCTGTCACTACTAAGGTTCTGATGGCTACTATTTCCATTGCTAGTCATAGCATCCGAAAGAGAATGAGGTTTAGGCTTCTTAATAATAGTAGCATCATGTTGTCTCCTAGGCTTCTTAGCCTTTACAGTACCACCATCACTTATCCTAAAATCTACTCTAGGTCCAGTTATATAATTTACCCTAAATGAAGGGTTCCGAAAATAGGCTTTATTCCGTTCAGACAATCCTGCCTGGGCCTTATTCATATTTACTGAACCCATTAACCTCTGATTACTCGAATCCAAATAACCGTTCCAGGCTTTTCGAGCAGCTAAGAGGCTTTTATCATCACACACTTCGGATCCATCTTGATGCCTACACTTTTTACCTTTTTCTTTCTTTTCTATACTTAGAAAACCCATCTTATCAGTTACACCAACCGGCTTCTTGCTAGGACACGCATCAAGAGGTTTTACATCGTTACGGTCACATACTCGTCCTTCATCAGTGTATGCTTTCGTGATATAATTGACAACTCTCTTACCTTCCGGGCGTGCGTTAGATAGGAACGAAGAATCCTCATGTCTCGCACGCAGACCACTAGTAGCTTCCGTATTATGTTCTGTTTTAGCCCGATAAGCTAATCTTCCAAACCTACTACTAGCTATCTTAGCACGAGACATAATAAATTCCGTCAATTCATTGAAATTAGGCTCTCTCTCCTCTTCGTCCCACTTGATTCCTAGCTCTGCCCACTGGGCTTGCATTCGACGAGGTAAGAGCCTGACTACTCGTTCTAAAGTAACCAAGGAATTAAGTTCCGTTGTACAATTTAGCTGTTCTAAAGTTAAAGCAGCATTCTGCATTTTAGTAGCCAAATTCGTCAGTTCCTCAGGCTCATTAAAATCTGCGTTCCCGGTTCTAAATAAGTCCTCTAAGGTTTCTCGGGCTATTACATGCGACTGTCCAAAGAGCCGTTTTAAGATGGCCTTAGCTCTCTTATATCCTGCTTGTGGATCCATTATAATACAACCTTCAATCGCATTTTTTGCTTTTCCCTTACAGTAGTGAATTAAATACAATAAACGCACTTGGTCGTCTTTTACTCTTGGTTCTAAAAACGTTTCTATTTGACGCATGAATCTAAAATAGTCGCGAGACTTTCCATCAAAAAATGAAAGTTCGACCTTAGGTAGTTCTAATCCTACTATCGGTGTCTTAAGTATCTGATCCGTCTCTGGTACCTTAGAACTCTCACTTAATCCTGGTTCCTTAATGCCTGTCAAAGGTGACTTACAATAATAAGTATCAGACATAACATATGGGTTACCCATAAAAAATTCATCATTAACGACTTGCTTAGCGTTCTGGGATCCGTCGAGCTCTTCCACCCTCCTCGTGTTTGATTTCTTGCGACTTGACATTGTAAGTAAAGTTCAACGGAAGGAAAATAACAAATACAAAATATAGTAATTCCACAGATAAGTTCGATAAGATATGTCCAAGATCAAAATTTCTTCATCCAAGATACAATTCGAATACGAAAATACGACAAATAATCCAAAATTCTTCTTTGAAGAAAGTTTAGTGTGATAAACGAATAAATTTCCAAATGTTTCTTTATAATTCTTAATAATCCAACTGTAATTGGTCTTCTAATCAAAAGGTAATAGATAATTCCAGAATATAAATGTTCTTAGGAATAATTCCAGACAGTAAATGGACTAATTTCCAATTTCGTTAGACTGTAGTTGGATTTCTATCGTGTCAGTTCAATTCGATTCCAATAGACGTACGTCGGACGCATTTCCCGATTTTAATATAAGAACACAATAATTCTAGGGGAAAATGGTCTATTAATAAATGATAAATGGAAATACAAATAATACCTAACGAAATTTACGTCTTCCAATTAAAAATTACTCTGAACGAGTATCAATGTTCCGAGGTCTAGGTGAACTCCTATACTGCACGATGTCGAATCCAAAAATGTGGCGGTGGCCATATTATATCAAATTTAAACAACATATGTACAGTTCAGAAGCAAACATAAAAACTTCAATATAAGTACAAAATATAGCAAGAATAACAATATACAATGATAAAATCTCAAATTGGAATCAAATAAAATACCAAAAATGTCAACAGAAAAAGTCCGTCATGTCATAACAAAAATATGTAAACATGGAGGGATTTTCCAAAAACAAAACATTCAAAAAGGATTCTACAATGATTTGTAATGATTTTATTAGAAGTAATCTATTTGTGTTGATCAATCGTAACTTGCGAATCAACTTCAGGACCTGAATCACACTTAGGTTTTCTTGTTATTTCAGTGTAAATTACTAGTACATTAATCGAAGGGAGAAAAACCAATATCAACTACAAAGTAAATAGCTCAGATTGTGACAAACACTGTGTAGGACAAAGTGGACGTCCTCTTTAGCTTCGTTTGCCTGAAAATCAATTAGCAGTCAAATGCCAATATATTTCTTCCATTATATTAATACGTACGGAAAACTATGGACATACGTCCGGTCGGAACAATGTTAAAATACTGCTTGCTTGGAATAACAAGCTTGACCTGTAGGATGAGTTATGAGTATTTCTCTAAATAATTTTGTTCATCTCATGTAATAACATGGATAAAATCTTAGTAGTCAAAACATTTACATACGTAGGAACAGATAACAAAAAAGGAAAACTGACTTTTGAAGACGGTTTCCTTTTCGGTTACTAGCTGAATTACTTATGCCTGTCATCATTTGTGGAGCACAGACCGCCATCCAGGATTCGCTAGTCAACTCTAACGCGGACTTACCCTTCCGGTTGTTCTGAAGTGCCACTTCATTCTTTTTATGTGTACCTTTATTTCCCAGCATAGTGTTTGGTGGTCTTCACATTTTCCTTTTGTTATGAGGATCTTAATCGAAGGATTGACTTAGAATGTAGTTGGGTGATTTCCACAATGTGATTCTCATCCACCTTCAGCGCTGTTTCCTTATTTCTTCTGCAGCTGGAATCTGGTTTCTTCCCTCCTATGGTAGGTCATTGCTGATGATGCCTGGTCAACGGATCCTCACCATCTTGCGTACACGACTGTTTATAAATACCTGTAACTTCGAATGATGGCTTATGTAGTTCTACAATTTCATACTCCATATGATAGAACTATTTTGATATTTGCATTGAAAATTCTTACTTTGGTCTTAATTGACAGTTGTCCTGACTTTCAAATAAATTTTGCAATGGTAAGTATAGTTTAGGGTTAATCTAGGGAAAAGTATGTATAATTTTTTTCGGGCGATACTTTATTTTGAACGTTGTACACTATGTGATAGCTTTAAGTCGTTGGGAAGGTAGGTTTACCGATTTCTTTCTTTCTGTGATTTGAATATGAGCAATAGTTTAGTAACCTTGAATCTCTCACGAACTTGTGGGTGTAAATATGGAAGTGTGTATGTCACTTTAAGCTGAGTTCCGAAAGCTGAAGGCTAGCAGAAATATATTTGGTTTCATGTAATCGGTTCAAAAGTTATTATTCCGAAAACTAGAGACTTAATTTTGTGGACTGTTCGTGCAACTGGAGGTTGGTGACGGAATCAGTGAACGATGAGAGGAGGCTATTACAACATTTAGAAGGATTTAGAGTGACAGGAAATAGAAAAAGTCCATATATCAGCCTAGGAGCTAGTGCGTCAGCCCCTTAAAAGTGAATTAAGCAACATTTTCTCATGGGCTTAGTTCTTTTACTAAGCCACTGATATAATCTGATATTATCTGTAGAAGAAATTAGGAACGCTGCTGCTCTCAAGTTAGTAAACATCTGAGTACACGAAGCTCTAAGCTGGAAACCTTATTCATTAACAGGATTTGGATACGGTAAAACTGGGGAATACTATACAGGACGCCATAGATATCTGTACGTGGACAACGCCTTTGTTCATAACGCCTTCCAGACAGAAGATACTCTAGGTCAGGTTCACCGGATGTCCGGATTGGGGCGGATCCAAGGTGTATTGGAATGATGACAGCTAATAGTTTTCAAACTACTAAGTTATCGGAGGAAATTCGTTCAGTGGCTAGTCAAAACGTAATCTTATCTGCATGCTTGATCGAGTGCCTCTAGTTAAGGGCATATACATTAAACTAAGATAATATCAATGTAGAAGACATGAAAACTGTTTAGTTTACCAATGAATTCATCTTGAATCTGAAATGAATGGATGGGAAAATTTAAAAGTGGACAACTAATGAAAATGTTAACCGAAAAATGTGAGACGTAGTAGATTAACAGCTATGTGAAAGTACAGAGGGACACATGTACTGTTCAATCTACAGACGTTACCATAAAGCTACTGAATAGGGTGACGATATATGAATGGACCATATAAAGCTCAGTGTTGGTATCCACTGAGTCACTGCTGTAATGGAAATTCGGGTTCCCTTAGACACTTAAGTTTCGAGAATTACGCCTTTTGATGCTTACAAAACAACTCCTCTGTAACTTTGAACTAATTCTCTTCTGGTAATTTATGTAATTTCGGATTTCTGTGGCACCTATTCAAATGTCAGCGGTTTGGCGTGTTGCTTCAAACCATCCGAAAAAACTCGTTGCCGGGACACTATGTATGGTTTATTTGTATAATTTTACGGAGGGGAAATACCGGTAAATCTTAATTTTGTACTTGTTCATGCAAACAGAGACTACGTTTTACACCGGGAAATATGCTCCAGTGTTGCTGTAGGTCATTAACCTTTGTCTACAATTAAGTAGTCGGAAAATTACCAAACCATTAACAGCAGACAATCTCTACGCAGCGTAACGGTGTTTATCAATCCATTCACGCGTCGTGGGTATGTGCTGTAATTTTATTTTCAGAGGTCTTTTAAAGGAGTTCGAAAAGCATGCTGCTCCTATTTTATACCTATCTGGTTTGGATGTCACAACAGTTTATTTAGACAATGATTCTGAAATAAAAGACTTTGTGAAGGTGTTGGATCAAACCAGCACTGATGGTGTTATAGTTGCTGGTGACGACAATCTGATCCAGAAAGTATTTTCCTTTGTCATAACGTGCATTGTTTAGGCAGTTACAGGTTTGTTATGTCGGAGTGATTTTAAAGTAAGTTTGTTATCAAATTAAACAAATCGTCACAGACTAGTCTGTGGTCATTACCAATTGGAGCAGTGCCCGTAGGTATATGGAATGGGTTTATAAACTCCATATATGAAAAAACAGTCGTCCCCAAGTAAGTTAAAATGCCTGTCTTCGTACACTCACCGTTAATCCCCTCGTATATTCTCATTTCCTATCTTCTGATTACCCTCGTTAACTTTACTTATGCTTCTAGTTTTATTTATCGACAAAAATATCCATGTGCGTAAATAATAATAAATAGAACAATCTGATTCCACAAATCCGTTAAACATTTGAAATGAACACCTCAGTAAAGTTTATTAATAACAAGTGAAATTATAGGTTATTTCACTATTCAGTCACTAAAAAACTTCATTCTCGGTGTTTCGTCCTTCAGATTACTATATGAGAAGCATGTTATTAAGATTCCAAAGTACTCTGCTAACTCAGTTTCTAACTCAACCTTTCGTTAAAAAAATCTATAGACTTTTGTTACTACTATCATTGCCATTTACTTACACATTGTAGGTGGTTCTATAACGTTTTACAATCTGTCCTACAACAGAACACCAAACGGCGAAATATTTTGGAAGTAAAAGTTGTTTCAGAAGTGAGTTTAAAGTTGTACTAGGCACCATTTTTACTCTGACCAATTGTTCTCCGTGATATGCATTTAATCTGTGTAGTTTTACTTATTAAGTTCACATAAAAACCTTATTTCCCTATACATACAAGGGCAAGTATCTTTTCATGCTTTCCACCCTTTAGTTTCATCTATCTCCCTTGAACCATCTGTTTTAACATCTAGCTATTTACTGTCATGTATATTGCTTTGTTTACTGGCTCAGCTTTAATTAATTGCGTTTATCACGATAAAATAACCTAACAGCTCAGGGTAATGTATACTCTTGACAGTCAGTCAGTAACAACGTAGAACTTCATAGGTACGTACATCAGTTCAAGTTGCCATGCCACATTAGCACAGAGACGCAGTTTTTAATTCAAATCCCATGGTGGTAGATGTAGTAGAAGTATTAGCGGTTAACAAAAAGATAAGGGCGGGACGATATTATTCAAGGATTATAATCCAGTGAAATAAATTTAAAAAGAGAAAGATAAAGGTCATCAGGAATTCAGATTAGGATTTGAGAGAACGCAAAGAATCGATGCACTGACGACATTGCAAACAATTCTAAGTCAAAATTTAACCATCGGTCACTATTGTCTCGCGGATCCCAAATAAGTAATCTACGCCTATAACATCCATTTGTAAGTGACTTCATGGATTTGTGCCGTGTTTTGGTCTAGCCTCCCTTAGCCTACCCCTACGTTACAAAACATCGCTCGTCAAGCCGGTCGGTGATCGGGCTTTCGTAACACATATCCTAACCACTTCAACCGAAAAAGATTCACTACTTCATCTATTGGTCTGCCATCAATACCTAGTATCTGTTTCCTAACTATAGCATTGCTTACTCGATTGTCCCAGGATATGCGAGCAATGCCTTAAAGATACCTATGATTGAAAACCAGTAACCTACAAATATCATCTACTCTTGCTGGCCATGTTTCACAGCCATAAAGTTGGACGAAGCGAACTGCTGCCCAGTAAACCCGTTCTTCGGTTGGCAGACGGATATCTCACCTACATCATAAGTGACGCAAGTTGGCAAAAGCCAATCGAGCCTTCTGTATCCATGCTAAGATTTCGTCAGTCACCAGGCCATCGGCAGTGACGAGACTTTCACGATAGGTGATGCGGTCTACAGGCTCGACTACTTCACTCCCTATCATTAGTTCACGTGCCAATACAAGCCAATCCTGAAGTGACATTTTACATTTTTAGGGGGAGAGTCGTATCCCGAAAATGCTTGCATACTCTTGCCAGCTTGTTTACAACTGATAACAAATTATTCAGATCAATCAGCTTCTATGTTACTTCGAATTCAGCGACTTTGAAATACTTGTCAGAGGCTACTCCACCATCTCTTAGCATGTTTACTCAACAGACAATAATACTTAAACACTTAAAATTGATATTTTCAGATGGGAAGTTGACTTGTAAAAAGTTATGAACAGCTAGATTCAGCTCAAAATAAATAAGAAGGCAAGAATTATGTCTGCCTTCAAATCATGCAGAGTAAATAACTTGGAATCAAATCACTTAAGACAGCTAAACGTGCTTATTTTCCTCCTGATAATTTGTGTTAATTCGTGTAGTGTTAGGCGTACAAAGTTCTGTGTTAGAACTGATTGACTAATAAATTTGTATGTGAACATGTTTGTGTATTGAATTAAGAAATTTATTCTTCTAGTTAGTGGTTTTTTCTTTGATCTCAGAGTGATTTATGGCAATAATTCTATTTCGTGGACAAACGCTACTTGCAATTTTATTTGTCAGTTAGTATTTGTGTTTATTCATTCTATCGATCAAAAACTGATTTGTCAAATCATTTTTTTATCTTAAGTTGGGCAGGAACAAATAATTAAGCAGAATAACGTAAATTCATTATATTTCATAGGGTTCTCATTAGCTGCTTACAACCTATAATATTTTGTAAATCAGAATTATTGTAAAATCTACATACTTGTAGTAGCAAAAAGGATATATATCATCACTGTGGAGTAGTGAATGTGAAGACAGTACTGTAAATAAATCTGTGTGAGAGTTTCTGGATCATAAAACAGTAACAAAAGATCATAGGAATAAAATTAAAATTGATTGGTTACATAATGAAGTAGTCGAATTCTCTAACATATGTGACGTATGCATTGCTGTTCATGTTCAAAACCATTCACTTAATAAAAGGAAAAAGATAATACTCATTGCTGTTTTAGCTGATTGTTACCGGAGTGTTTGATAATCTAGTTCGTAAATATTCCTTCAACCCCGGTAGCTCTATTTATCGTCGTTCACACTAGTTGTAGGGTACAATGCAAAAACTGTTGAATAATTGTTGAGGATATAGAGTGTCCAAATGCAGTTCAAAAGGAAGACAAGTAGTATCTATTTAAGATGAATCTTCGTTACATTAGTTTGTTCAGGGACTTCCAATACATGTTTTTCGCTATGTTTGATATTCATTGACAATCGCTCAGTCAGTAATTTGAATCTTACTGGGTCTTGACCTACAAAAATTCTATACAACTAGATTTCTTACTGTAGTTAGTGGGGTAGGTAAGAAGAAGATATTAGTAGTCTTGTTTACTGTATCGAAGCTGAGATTGTGATACAGTAGGTTAGCACACAAACATAATAATAAGGGAAAAAGAAGTAAAGATTGGATAAAGTAATATAATCTGGAATGGATTACCATGAATTACGGAAATCTTGGGAAATATTGGAAGCATATATTAATTAATACTTCATCTCTATAATCAGTATGCTCCTGAAATTAGTTAGCTGTCAGTTAACGAGTAATAGTGTGGTGCGCGCTACTTGTAAGTAGTATATGACGCGAGTGTAAACATAATATCTGGCAGCAGAAGATGGGGGAAGATCAAGAAAGGAAGAGTGGAAACACAATGGAATTTGTATGAAACGCATGAATAGTGAAATGTCAAACAATGGATTGAAGATTTGCAAATTAACGACTTACGATATGGTTTTCCGATTTTACTGATTAACTCTGTAATTTGCGATAAATGCGATTCGGTTGCCCTCACCTGTGTTCTCCTTCACTACAATAGTAGTTATGAATACGTATTTTTAAACCATAGAGAAAATAAACGAAAATCTTTTTAGCTTACTGTGTACATCATATGTAATGCTCTATATACCTTGAACATGAATTCTGTATTCATTCGTGGTTACATCACAAAGTGATCTATGCCATTTGAAAAACCTCATTTTTAAAGTAAACACAACCTAATCTATGGAGTTCCTTTTTTTCTTTTATTCATGTATTTCTCATCTGTTCTATAGCGCTTACTTTAGAATCACTGATTGTTTTTTAAAAAATTGTTTATTTATAATTCTTCAAATAGGATAGTCAACCAACTGACCAATCGAAGACATCATCTACAACGACTTATTCTTTATTAGGTATTGAATGGAATATTTGGAGAGATATAGAACTTGGTGGAGGTTGTGGTGCTAGTGATAGGCATAAAAAGCCAAAAAATCCTAATGATCATCGTGGTGTACTTACTACACTTTCTATTTCATCGCCAAAATCTTGGAGTCGTAATTTCGGTGCATTATGGCGATCAACTTGGTATTGGCTTAAATCATCCGAGAACAATATTCAATTAAATCTTCAAGATAGTTCTAAAACTTCATCGGAAGAATCTTCTGATTCTTCAGTGTCTGTATCTGAAAAAAAGCCAATAAAAAGTCTTGTAAAGTTGGCTCGCCTTACTTATACTCCAATGTGTACAGGATGTTCGAAATGTTGGGAGAAAAAGTTAATGGTAAGCAATTTATCAAATGCTTAAACAATTATTTACTAGTACTAATAGTTTGTAAGTAGTTACATTAAAGTAACTGAAATTTGATTACCTATAAAGGACTGAACAAGCACAACGTTAATTACTGATCAATGACCAATTAATTTAGTTCTGTATGAAGTTATTCTCTGCTTAAACAGTTCATCGCTAGTTTCTTTGACTGTAATACAATGACATGTTCGGATCCCATGTAGAACACCGGTTCCTTCAAGATTGTAGATATGTCTTAGTATTTAGTGTCAACTAGCACAAAATCCAGGTCTAGAGTTTCCTGCCAACTACCTAACCAAGGTATAGTTAGCTTGTTGATAGCAAAATACAACAATCTAGTTTTTCCTCTGATTTATGTGGTTTATTGCCATAAGCCTGTAGTATTCCATATTATTACTAAAGTAGAAACAATTAACTTCATCTCATGTTTATATCATTCGGTCGTTTGATTTTGATAATAATTATAAGTAGATAGATGTCTTAGAAGCGTCGCTCGTGTATCCTGGGACAACCGAGTAACATATGCTGTCATTAGGAAACAAGTACTAGTTAGGGATAGCAAATCATTAGATGAAGTAATGAAACTTCATCAGTTGAGATGGTTAGGACATGTGTTACGAATCCCCAACCACCGACTACTTCGACGAGCTATGTTTTGTGGTGAAGGAATAGGTTAAAAGAAAGCTAGGGGCGGCCAAACCAAAACATGGCAGAAATCCATGAAGTCCACTGAAAAGTGGACTGAATCATGTTGGTAGATGTAGGCTACCTGGTTGGGGTCCGCAAGACGAAAGTTACCAATGGTTATAGACCTTGAACGACATGGCTCAGAATAGTTTGCAATGTCACAGGTGCATCCACTCTTTGTGTTCTCTCTAAATCTAACCTTCTGAATTCCTCATCATCTCTATCTTTCTCTCTCTAACTTTATCTCACTGAATTATACCCTAATCTTCAACATTACCGCTAATACTTCTACTATCTCTACCACTATGGAGTTTGAACTGACAGTTGCGTCTGTGTGCTGATGTGGTACGGCAACATGAACTGATGTACGTACGTACGAAGCTCTCTACCTTATAACTGACTGTACCTTGCTTTGTTGTACACATTTCTATTCATTAATGATTCATGAGAATGTTTTCTCAAATAAAAATCAAAATTTAACCATCTTCATTATTATCTTATCAAACAAGTTGTAACACAATAATTACACAAGAAAAATATTCTTTGAATGCTAAAATATCAGTTCATTCAATGAATTTCAATGACAATAGTTCATTTTCTTGTACTTAAGAACATAGTAATAAGCAGCATAATTCATATTGTAGTTAGATTATTAGTTTTTTTTTTTCACTATCATTTTTCCGTCAAAATATCGTCTAATTACATACAATTCATGTTAAATTGTTTATTTTCTAATGTTTGTCAAAGTGCTATTCTTATTTTCAACAATTTTCTTTTTTCTGGATATTTTATGCATAGAGCTATAAAGAATTTTGTTCCGGTGTAAAAACGAATAAATCAAAATCTTTATTAGGCAAAATATTTGGATTCTCATTAAGTGATCATAAAAACAGCAATATTAATAATAAATCATTTATTAATAATAATAAGAGTAAGAATAATAAGAATACAATAAATGATGAAAATTTACAAATTGAAAAACAACTCAAAGCTAGCAGTGTCATAGATAATCCAGAATGTGAAGAACTAAAAGAATTATTGCTTGACAATGCTTCAGGATTGACAATCACTCCAGAAGGAGTAAGTTTTCTGTGTTGTTTTTTTAATGGTAAATATTGTAACGCTTGCTTGAATAATTTCCAGCTAAATCCTATTGCTTAGTATTCTCTGACCACAATACACTGGACAAGTTCCAAAGAATCAAAAACACGGTTGAACAGGAAAAGATTATATTCCAAATATCAAGGTTAAATGGAAATAAGAAGCCGAAGGTGAAGGCGAAGGCGAAGGAAAAATAGAGACAGCGTTAGATTCTTTATAGCATTTACATGAGAAGCTTCTGGATCGACTGGATTAGATTTAGCCAATCAGCGCACAGCTAACGCAGTCATGCTTTATTCTATTCATGTCCCACTAACAGTAAACTTATTAGTTATATTGTCATCAAAAACAGATTTGTTTTAGTTTCATTGTTATTTAATGATTTGTATAGCTGTAAAAGGTAATTATTTTGTATTATTGAATTTTTTATTTCCACTGTAATTGTATTTTGTACCGAAACACAAGTTATCGTTTGATAAAGTAGTGAATCTTCATGATTTGAAGTGGTTATATGTTTTGTGATTGTTCAATCACTACCTACGTCGATGGGTGATGTTGTCCAGTGTCGGCGTGGAGATGGTGGAAAAGATTTGTAGCTCAGGTGGATGTTTGATTCTCTGAGCTGGGTGTTTTGGTTGTACAGCTTTGATTGTTCTTCTGAACAACATCATCAGCACAAACTACAGATAGAAGTGAAGCATTAGAATTTCTCCACGTTTGACCTGTGGCTTGTTCTGCTAACCTCGATCTTGATTGCTTACTGTTGACCTTAAACCTGTCGTTGTTTGCACCTTTGTTTTGATTGCATCCCCCTTTTGATCTGTTTCTTGATCCTATGTCACCTATGATTTTCCTGATTGGTTGATAAGTTGGGTCAATGTCGATATGTTCGTTGATTGCTGATTGACCTGAGGGGCAAGCTTCTAAAAATTCCCTAGTGTTCTTTGTCCTCCCCCTACCCAGTATTTCCACATCGTTCCAATCAAATGTGTGTCCATAATTGTCGGTGTGTATTGATATAAGCGAAGCGTTGTCGTGGCGTTTGACTGCTAGTTGGTGTTCACGTAAACGGAGGCCGTCCACTTTGTCCTATGTAGTGTTTTTCACAGTCTGAGCAATTTATTTTGTAGATGACATTTGGTTTTTCTTCCTTTGTCGTTTTTTCTTTCGGTCTACATAGGATTGATTGAAGTGATTTTGTTGGTTTGTGTGCCACACCTATTCCAAATGGTTTCAGTAGTCGTGCTGTATGCTCCGATATATCTTTAATGCATGGCAGGATGATGCGTTTATTGGTTCCTGTGCTTGATTTCACTTCTGATGATGGTTTTGGTTGATGTTTTTTGATGAAGTTGCGTGGATAGCCGTTCTTTTGGAAGATAGTCATCAGGTGTTTTTCCTCGTTTTTTTAATGTTTCGTATGTGCTGCAGTGTGTCTTCACTCTCTTGAACAGAGTTTGTATGCAGTTAATCTTGTGGGTTCTTGGGTTGTTGCTGTTGTAGTTGAGAATTACGTCGGTGTGGGTTGGCTTCCGAAATACTTGAGTTTCTAGTTTTCCTGTGTTAGTTCTGGTGATTAGTACATCCAGGAATGATAGGCTGTTGTTTGATTCCTTTTCCATCGTGAATTTGATTTCATCGAAGACGTTGTTGTTCTGATTGTAGATGTCCTCCAGCTCATTCCTTTTGATAATAACGAATGTGTCGTCTACATAGCGGACGCACATTTTTGGCTTGATCACTGGCAGAATCGACGCTTCTAGTCTCTGCATTACAGCTTCGGCGATGAGTCCTGATATTGGTGATCCCATTGGTGTTCCTTTTATTTGTTCGTAGACTCTGTTGTTGAATTGAAGATACGTTGTTAAGCATAGGTCGATGAGTTCAAGCAAACTTTGACTCTGAAGCTTTGTATATTTGTGTAGATTTGTGTCGTTGATGAGGAGCAGAGAAAGAGTTTCTTTAGCTAAGCTTGGCTCTATTGATGTGAATAAGGCTGTTACGTCGAAGGATATCATCTCGTCGTTGTCGATTTGAATCCCTTTGAGTTTATCCAGGAACTGTGTGTCATAACTAACCGATCAGATCGGTTAAGCACTCACCACGTTATCTAGTCTGACCGGTCTTATTCACATCAATAGAGCCAAGCTTAGCTAAAGAAACTCTTTCTCTGCTCCTCATCAACGACACAAATCTACACAAATATACAAAGCTTCAGAGTCAAAGTTTGCTTGAACTTATCGACCTATGCTTAACAACGTATCTTCAATTCAACAACAGAGTCTACGAACAAATAAAAGGAACACCAATGGGATCACCAATATCAGGACTCATCGCCGAAGCTGTAATGCAGAGACTAGAAGCGTCGATTCTGCCAGTGATCAAGCCAAAAATGTGCGTCCGCTATGTAGACGACACATTCGTTATTATCAAAAGGAATGAGCTGGAGGACATCTACAATCAGAACAACAACGTCTTCGATGAAATCAAATTCACGATGGAAAAGGAATCAAACAACAGCCTATCATTCCTGGATGTACTAATCACCAGAACTAACACAGGAAAACTAGAAACTCAAGTATTTCGGAAGCCAACCCACACCGACGTAATTCTCAACTACAACAGCAACAACCCAAGAACCCACAAGATTAACTGCATACAAACTCTGTTCAAGAGAGTGAAGACACACTGCAGCACATACGAAACATTAAAAAAACGAGGAAAAACACCTGATGACTATCTTCCAAAAGAACGGCTATCCACGCAACTTCATCAAAAAACATCAACCAAAACCATCATCAGAAGTGAAATCAAGCACAGGAACCAATAAACGCATCATCCTGCCATGCATTAAAGATATATCGGAGCATACAGCACGACTACTGAAACCATTTGGAATAGGTGTGGCACACAAACCAACAAAATCACTTCAATCAATCCTATGTAGACCGAAAGAAAAAACGACAAAGGAAGAAAAACCAAATGTCATCTACAAAATAAATTGCTCAGACTGTGAAAAACACTACATAGGACAAAGTGGACGGCCTCCGTTTACGTGAACACCAACTAGCAGTCAAACGCCACGACAACGCTTCGCTTATATCAATACACACCGACAATTATGGACACACATTTGATTGGAACGATGTGGAAATACTGGGTAGGGGGAGGACAAAGAACACTAGGGAATTTTTAGAAGCTTGCCCCTCAGGTCAATCAGCAATCAACGAACATATCGACATTGACCCAACTTATCAACCAATCAGGAAAATCATAGGTGACATAGGATCAAGAAACAGATCAAAAGGGGGATGCAATCAAAACAAAGGTGCAAACAACGACAGGTTTAAGGTCAACAGTAAGCAATCAAGATCGAGGTTAGCAGAACAAGCTACAGGTCAAACGTGGAGAAATTCTAATGCTTCACTTCTATCTGCAGTTTGTGCTGTTGATGTTGTTCAGAAGAACAATCAAAGCTCCACAACCAAAACACCCAGCTCAGAGGACCAAACACCACCTCCACAGTGTAGGTGTAGGCTGGAAAAATACTAAGTTAGATTAAACGGAAATGCATTGTCAGTCCATGAAGTCATCGCCTATTGGACCAAGTGATTTAGGTAGGTGTATCTATTACGTGGTTGAAGTCTGCGTGATTTGAAACCATTAGTTAGAGGTTGTCGGTCACATTGATCAGGACTGTCCTCATTGGGACATGTCAATTCACTCTTCATATTCTCTTGATCTTTGAATCGAGAAATTCTTATTATACCTTTTTGTTTCGTTTTTATCAAAATCTACCCTCCTTTGTTTTGGAACGGCAGTAACTACATTGATATAAGTGTTTTTAAGGTCTGTTAGTCTAATCGAGGTTCACAGCAATAAAGTTTCGTTTGATTTTCATGGTAAGTTTTTAGTTTTGACTGGCTTCTTATTTATATTCTTCGTTTGTAATTCAAGATTAAGTGGGGATTGTCACAAAGAAACAATTGAGTAAACAAGAAAGATTAGTGAACAAAATTAGCCCTATGTTTATGAATATCAAATCCACAATAAGTTGTCATCGTGTATTTGCTTTTATCGTAAGTGATTTACTTTTCAATCGGCATTAATAGTCAATCATTCTCTGAAATTGTCTTATTACATTATCACAGATTGACTATAACTATGGTTACCAGTGTCCTATTTAGTGTAGCAAGATTTACTTCTTTGACACTCCAATTGTAGACCATGGAATATGTCTTGTTTTAATCTACTATTTTCAAAACAAGCCCATATTTCCAATATTCTGCATTCTTCTCCGGAATTTATTTATGTCGTAGTAAATAACGGTGAGCTTAATCAAGCTACTTATCATTACCATGTCAGTCAGTCAGTCATAGAGAACGGAAAATCTGACATGAATATCATTCATTCTAAGTTGTTACACTGATAATGAGGATTTTAACCATCTTGATAAATTTATTGACATCTGACATGTTTGTCCATTTGAGATTTCTATACAATGTCGACATGAAGTAAACTGTTACCTGGTGTTAAATTGTTATCTTTGCCCGACGGTAATTAGGATTGATTATCGAGACGTCATTAGATGGGGCAAAGTTCATTGGCAACTGTAGTTCACTCAACATACCCCCATCAACATCTGTTTGAATAAATACTGCACCATAAATAACTTTTTTATCAGTTATTTTGTTTAGTAAGAGAGAGGCGATGAAATATCAAGTGAACGTTTTTTCATGAGTTATTATATGAATAATTGTAATTTAGAAACTGTATAATTGTGTTATAAGTGAACAGATGATTCATTTAGAATTACATACTACTTAATTAAACTGTTAGAGGTCAGTTTCGTTTTCAAATACTCTTTTGGTGGTTTCGTGTAACCCATTTAAATCCATACCAATAAAAATATTCATTTCTTTAGGATCACATTCGTTTAGATATTTTGCCTTGTTCCACCAGTTATTGGGATCATATAAAACAGTTTCGTTCATGGCTCCTTTCTCAACCGTATTCATTTAAATCTGGAAGCAGGGTGATTTTGTGTGATAAATTGCGTTTGTTTCCTGATCAAACTGAAGTGAGTTTCTCTTGTTTCGCTATTATCAAACTGTTATCAAGCTTAATTATCAGTTTGTAACGTTTTCATATTTCGTGCCCTATTTATTCAACTAAACAATAGGAGCTTTACGCGGAAAATCCAACTTTTTTGGACTCAGAAATAAGAGGATTCAATACGCTCATAACTAATTTTTAGTGGTATACTTTTATAGAAGTTTAAGTCAAGTTGTGCAAAACAAAGACATCAAATTAGTTCGACTTATTCTTCATCTAGTTTCTGAAATTACAATTAATTAGGCGTTTAAAATTGTAAAATTAACGGCTATTAAAAATGCTTGATGATCGAAGGTTAATTTAGAAATGGTTAAGGATTTATTTGTTTTATTGTTCAAATTATGTTTGTAACTTATAATGAAAACACTGTTAATTCAATAAAAATAAAATGGTTGGACAGATAGATTGTTATTTAAAACAATAAAACTGTGAAGGTCAAACATTTTTAATGAATAAAGATTGCAGATTGTCTACAGTCCTTATCTATTAGTTAGCTGTTTTTTATGTTACATTTTCGCAATAAATATTTGCAAATAAAGCATTTGATTTATTCATTTACTCTGAGTTATTCATCTCTTTGCTAATAACTTTGTTTATGTACAGTTTTTGCATGATCATTATACCATAAGGATTTCCACTTTTCAAAATCTCCAATTCTAAATGGAGGAAACACATAGTAGCCTTGGGACAGATCAGTTAATTTATTCTGCTTGAGTCATTGTCCACGCTTTGACCGTGTCAATTATCCGCTTGTAACCTTGGCCGTTTTCATCTAAATGTAAATGTGTCTATCGCTTACTCTATTTATCACATACCCTGAGCTTATAGGGAATCAAGCTTAATCAAATGGAGTTGGTGTGTAGTATGTATTTTACATAAGTCTAAATTAAACTCATCTGCAGTAAGTAGTTACTTCGAAGATTAATTTGCCATAGTAAAGATTTTTTACGCAATATTTTTCGTACTGCATTGGTAGTTGTAATGGCCTTTCTAATCGGGAAGGTCAAGTGAAACCAGTTTGTGTTATTAATAACTTATTGGGTTTATTATTAACATATTCTGTATAGAGATAAGTTTCCATAAATCCAGGACTAACTTAATCGAAATCAGTTATTTACATGGTGTGTCTTATTGCCTCATAACGAATGTGTTCTGAAATACTGTCACTGATTCTGTGTAAGAGACTTGCCTAGCCATTGTTATTAGTTTCTTGTACCTAATTCTCTATTTAGTTTGTAATTTTCTTCATTTGTTAGTACGTTCACTTTTAAGTTTTCATGTGTTTCTCATTCTCTGTTATAGAACGAGTTTTACTGGATTGACAATGATTACTTTGAAGCCCGTCCGATTGAAGTTAATTTGCGACGCAACGCTGTCAATTTTTTCATGTAATTCTGTTACTTCACCTAAATAAACTAGATTTTTTTTATTCTGTTGATTAATTGAAGCTTCTCTGGTGGGTAACTCATCGTTTTTTCGACATACATATGTAGTAACTTGGGGGTCGGTTCTTATTAGGTGAACGAGAGTGGTGAGGCTTTACTGTCAAACCCCGTGCCAGGCACCTAACATGGACTGTAGTCAGGTTGCCCAGGTCTCTTCGATGACTACAAAACAAGTAGAATCTTACGAAAGTACAGGGTCTAGACTCTCTCACAAACTGTTCCGTAGCAAGCATCTTTTAGTCTGTCGTTCTTGATGACTTGTTAATTGTTCAACACTCAATGATAAACCCTGTGGCGAGTAGACGATTCATCCTAGGTGGAATCCCGGACTCTGACGCTTTGCCGTCCTCACAAAACAGACATTATCGTGATTAGTGGTACTGATCTAATCATACAAAGTTTTTCCGATTCGCGAATATTGAGTCGGTTCTTTTTGCGAGTTAATTTGAAGTCAGTGAAGGCATACCCAAAATAAGTAGGGTGGTGTCGTGTAGCATTTCTAAATAAGCTATGGAATCCTCAATATCAAACGCCTCATTCCTTATATGCGCTTATTTCAGCAAAAACGGTTCCAAAATGTGTATATGGTAAGGAATTTGGCGAGTTGCTTTTCACCTGAGAAGTTCATTACTTCGATTCGGTACACATCTCATATGTATACCTGACTCACTAAGCTACGATTTCACTAGAGAATGTAAAGTCTTGGTACAGGTTACGCTATGTTAAAATGACAGCTATCTGTACACCAATAATTAAGTTTGAGAGCAAAGCTAAGGCACAAACGCTTCAGTCACAGGTACAAATTGAAACTAGGTTCATATGCAACGAGCCTGTTGACAAGTGTTTCGAAAAAATGGTGACGAGTCTTGTGTGTTTTGTCATGCAGTTATGTAGAAGGTGCACGAGGAATTGACACATCCTAAATAATCCCCTTCTGGTGATTTTGGTGCCTGATTTTCAGAATATGTAGGAGTACGAGAGGTGACTTCCAGTAGGGTTTATTTGATTTAAGGGGCCATCGTAAAGATGAATAAGTTAGATGTGTGGTGAAGTTATTTCAGGTCTTAATGCAACCTAGGTTGCTGTGCTGGATTTTCTTGGTTTATCTGAACTTGCTGGGACTACGTACAACAGTACACATCTATTTTTATCTACCCTGTTCGATTTAAGATTGGCTCGTTACGGATAATTATTTCGTGGATTTTGTTGTATGTCGAGGTGAATGCTCGACAGTATAATTAAATTTCCGTCATGAATTACAGAAAAACTTTAGTGACTTCGCATTACTAATAGGACACTTACGTAAGTTTTGTGATTTGCGGTTATGATGATAGGGCACATTTCGTGCAACAAGTATCAGTAAAAGTCAAAATATTGGTCATTTTATGACTAATCATCATCAGTCTCCAAATATTTCTAGTGGAACACTTCTACGAAGGAAACGCAATTCATGAAAAGAAAACACTTATCATTGAACTCATTTTGTTTAACTGTATCAGAAACACTTACCGGTGAAGTTTTTTTTTGCGTTGTTACCATTGTAAGTTTTAGAGTGGTTTCTGAATTTTGAAAAACAGTTCTAGCAGTTTAGATACTCTCCTTGCCCGGGTATCCAAAAAATAAAGCAATTTATCTGGGTAAGAAATGGTTCTATTATTAATTAAAATTTACGGATCATTACCTAAACAATATTACACTGTTCTCCGTCGAAATTAACACAGTGTGTTTCTAATTCTGGAAGAATGCTTCCGTTCAAAATTGCACCCTTCCAGTTCAGATGTACGTTTCACCCTCTAGGGTACCAGTTGCGATATGGCTAAAGCCGCAATTAATTATCAATTTAAACAACACAATACAGTTCAGTAGAAAACATAGAAACTGCAATAAAGGTGCAAAAATAGAAACTATAACAAAATACAAAGATTAACATCAAAAAATGGGATTAAACAGGGTATCAGAATATTGAACAGAAAGAGTCAGTAAGAACATATTACAAATATATACATGGAGGGATTTTCCCAAAACAAAGCATTCAAAATGGATTCTACAGCCATCGTTTATAACTTGCTGCTCGCTGTAACGCCTACTTCCTCCTTCAAATATATTCTTTATCCTGGATATACCTATGCTTATATTGATGGGCAAGTAATTAGTATTTAGTGATGGCCGTAGTCAATCTGGACTCGGTCACCACTAAGGACTGATTTTGATCTTGGTCATTTTCATCCCAGAATACTCCAGATTGTTTACTGGGTCGGCCATTACTTTTACAGTTAAAATCAGCATTGACCTATAGCTTGTGATAAAGTCAGATAAAATCACTTAACCGTCTAACCATATTAACAGTAACTGAAACCTAAGGAACCCGTTAAGGCAAATACATACAATAAAACAGCTACCTAACGGTGTTCAGTATGTGTTGGGTGTTAAGTTTTGATTAAAACATTCCTAGCTGAAAGCTCTCGGTCAAGCGTTAAGATCGTATCACCTTTGAGTACATTATGTTAAACATCTACGATAACTAGTCAGCTTAGATTTCATATAATACGATATACTGACCAACAATTTAAACATAATTTCGTGACCGACGACTTCGGTTTCTGTTTTCATTCAATTTAAAATCATTGCATGAATATCACTGCTGAGATTACAGTATCCGTTAACCTATGCAAACACAGAAACTTCCTGCGTTTAGTCGAAGAAATTAGGTAATTCTTTGTTATATTTGTGGACTGTGAGAGTAACTATGTGCACAGAGGTCTTACTTTGTAAATATTGGCTGCTGTTAATTATGAGTAAGGATGGGAGTGACTAATTGTTTGACAGCATCTATCAATTACATGAAGTCGCTAATCAAGAATAAATAATTTGACTCATGTAGAGCTTTATTTCCATAAGCAGAGACTCTCCTTACCACCATATGTTCCAACCGATTCAAAATATTTCAATTTATACAACAAATCTTTAGATTTTTCGTCTCAGAATATTGTAGAAACACTTTTGAATCTACAACTCGGGTTCAAGGAACTGCATTCACTGTCATTCAAGAATAGACCTTATATTTTTTTCCTAATCTCACTTTTTCAGTGTAGCTTTATTTCCGATGTATTCATATTTGAGGTACGGATTACCATCTCCCTCTTGGGCCACTCTTGCCCTAAGACTTATTAGTGGTTATTATTGTTGTTTTCTCAGTTCACTAACTCAATCTTTCTCGCTAATTACCTCTGTTTCTTTTCCTTTGCATGTACTTTGTTCCTTTGTCACAATATTAACTACCAGCTTACTTGGTCCTGAAATCTCATTATTAGCTTTGAATTTTCTCCTTATTATCGATTAAACTGAACATAACTTATCTATGGCCTTGTAATTTGATAGCTGCTGGTATCCAGAAACGTTACTGTCATTAGTCAAATGCATTCATACGAATTCATAAATCATTTTCAACTGACTTGAGTTAGTGCAGTTGGGTGATTCGACTAACATGCACTACCAAATACCAATTGAAAAAGAATCGTGCGCAAAGAAATCAACTGGTTTATACTAGTTTTTGAAAAGTTAAGGATTAGGTATTGGATCTTGAGGTAAGTTGTTTGGAAGCGCATCTTTCGAACTCTGTTGTTGCATTTAACGGTGTTGGTTTAATTCGGTAATCGATCTTTCGCGTTAATAATTTTCAGTATAACTTCATTGTATTAAGCTTGTCAGGTTTCCGGAATATTTTTTTTATTATTTTTGCACGTTTCACTTAAAAGTAACCTGTCGGTTCAATAGCTTGATCTTTACCACTATAATAATACGAATCATAGCTGTATATAGACCGGTATTCATAATTATCGTATTTTTATTATTCTGAGATGTCATATGAGTTTTCAAAACTTATTACTAGGCTTGCGGTTTATGGTCCTCGTTCAGACTATTCTATGTATCTCAAAAGCCTAGATCATCTAAATATTTGTTCAAACATGTATCTACAATTTATTTAAGATTTCTTTTGCATTACCTAAATGAAAGTTACATTGTGAGTATGTACCATATTCAGAACAAAGTTATAAACTCCAAGGCTATGTAATTCAATACAATCCCGTAGCTATTGTACTGCGCAGCAGTTCGTGCGAAACATGGCCAGTCAGAGTAGAAGATATTCGTAGGTTGCTTGTCTTCGTTCATAGATGTCTCCGAAACATTGCTAGTGTATCCTGAGACAACAGAGTAAGCAAAGTTGCTGTTAGGAAACGGGTTCTAGGTAAGGATGGCAAGTCAATAGATGGAATATTGAAACTTCATCAGTTGAGGTGGTTAGGACATGTGTACGAATGCGCAACCACCGACTGCCTTGACGAGCTATGTTTTGTGGTGTAGGAGTCGGTTGAAAGAAAGCTAGGGGCCGCCAAATCAAAACGTGGCAGAAATCCATGCAGTCACTGACAAACGGAATAAGTCGTGTGGTCCGTGAGGCGATAATAACGGGTGGTTAGAGACCATGAACGACATGGCTTAAAATTGTTTGCATTGGCGCAGGTGCGTCCACTCTCTGTGTTCTTTAAAATTCTAATATTGTAAATTCCTCATCACCTCTACTTTCCTCTTTCCAAATTTATTTCACTGAATTATACTTGGATACTTTCTTCGACCCCTTCTCTTCTCCATTACCGCTAATACTTCTATCTCTACTTGTATGGGATTTAAACTGACAATAAAATTTCTGTGCTAATGTGGTATGGCAACCTGAACTGATGTACGTACTTACAAAGTTCTACGTTGTAACTGACTGATGGCTATTGTATCTAGAAACTGGTTTTCCCGATTTTCTGTCTTGTTATTCTTACATTCTTGGCATCTCATTAGCTTCGAATAAGTCAAACAACTTTTTTAGGTAGTTTCAATACTATGTGATTTGTGTTAGGCTTGTTTACTTGATCTTTTATGGGAAAAAAAGGTTGAAATTTATCCTCTCCAGTCAGTCACTTTAAACTCCATTTGCTTTCATTTAGACTTTTAGTGATATATATATATATATATATATATATATATATATATACATATATATATATATACATATAATCATATTATTTATAAGTATTATTCCTAAACTTTTTTCCAGTGTTCGTGTCCCAGGTAGTCGTTCCAAACGAGTAAAGTTCAACTACTAAACGTATTGTGATTGAAACTTGGTCTTTTTTCTACAAACAGGACCAATGACATTTCCAATCTGTACAGAAAGTAATCACGCTCCATTCAAAGACCAGATTGACGATGAGACCGTAATGTTTGATCTGGACATGAGCATGGATACTTTACCTGATACACCCCTAAAGAATGATGATGGTGACTCTGATACACAAAAGACTCGGGTAATGCTTTCATAATATTCTGATATATTTTACTCAGACAAATCAATCCAGTAATTCCCTTTCCGCTACTCCTTCAAGACGTGAAGGTAAAGTGAAGTCAGACATGTCTCGTTCTGCTTCAACCTCAGGACTTATTGATAATGTTAGCCTGGAGGATATTTACGAGTACGACTGGGCTGATAGTGATTCTGAATCTCCCGGTGGGAAACATGAGAAAGAGTCATATATAGTTCAAGAAGTTCTTGCAGACTTTTTGAAGGTTAGTTTTATCATACTTATCTTACTGCGGCTCTTTTTCATTTTAAGTTCTAAGCCATTCTGTTATAGTCTTATTAGTATCAAATGGCCAAATTTTATGGGTGAACTCGCTAACCACAGAAAAAATCCCTGAACTGCTTACTATTGACCTGATATCTCAAATTCTGTCTTTCTATTATTGGTTTCGTTATACGTATTGGAGTAACTTCGGTTAGAATGCGAGCCTAAAGATCTGTTCAAATTTTGTTTGAATTAAGGGAAGAATTAATCAACATAACTTGATGCTCTTTTTAGCTTGTAAAATAGCAGTGAAGTAAAGTATTTATCAGCATCCAAAGGTAGGAAGATATCTATAATTGAATACAGAAAGGAAACAAGTTGGGAAGTTAAACTCAGTTGTTAACATTTAGCATGCTTTCTGAACAATAGATTTCTATAATTGACATGATATTAAGTCCTAAAGTTTTTTACACTAGGTAACATAAAAGTTATGATAAGTTTCTGTTTAAAACCGTAAGTATATATCTAGAATTAATGCAAGTGGTTTTTATCACCCTGACCAAGTTGTTGATAACGAAAATTTTACCGTTTTTGAGTTCATGTTGTAGCATAACGCATGTTGTATGTGGCCATTATATGGATCACTATGTATTTTGAACTTCTGTCTGTTTTGTGATAGGTAGATACAGCTAGTCCATATTTTTCAGGTTTCATTATTCACTTGAATGGGTGAACTTTAAGTTGTGGTTTTAAATGGCCATATCCAAAGTATCTCAATAACTATATAATTCAGTGTTTGAACAGTTTTTCGTAGTTTAGTCCTTTTTTTCCTTATGGGAAAAATACACTCTCGTGCGTTACATTATGTTTTACTAGGGACATTGTCCTGTATTTCGTGTTGGATTTCGTCCTTATTTAGTTATGACGAGTTTCCGAGCAGTTCTGTTGACTAATGTATTCCCCTTTTTTATTAGGTTAAATCCTTCAAACGCAAGTACCCCGATCTAGCTAGGCGCGCTATGGATGCTTATGAACGATCGTGGTTACAGCAAGAGGGGATCGTTCCTGTTGGTCGTGCAGACCTTGGCCTCACAGCACTGAAAACTGATGATGTTATGAAACTGTTACAACAAGACTACCCAGAGATACATATTGCTCTAACGGATTTATTTCGTCGACGAAAATTTAAAACAGCTGTTGAAAATCAAAAGCGTCAGTATGAAGTGAGTTTACATATTAAAAATCATTTTCGTAACCAGACAGCTAATTCACAGTTACTAACTAATACAACATCCAGCCGTGTTTCTGTTGATGATTTTGAATAGAATGGTTGTCAATGAGAACCCCAAACGAATGCTGCTCATTGTATCTAGTGAAAGTACATTAAAGTTATTAAAGATCGTTATGAGATGAAGAAGGAAGCCAGGGTATTTCTTGGACACTCACGGTTTATAAAATTGAATGGTTTTGTTCGTTTGAAAAAATGAATTATATCTTGATATGAATAATTACACATATTTCCAAGTATTTGGAAGGAATTGACTCCATTCACTATATTGTTCACCCAATTCTGTTTGGTTTATTTCTCATTAGAGAGCAGTCAGTGCTTGTCTATAGTTAGGCCATAAGATTGCAAGTTACACCTTGTATGTAATTATAAACAGTAAGTAATACACGGTTTTTTGAAATCTTAATAGACTCATTAAATTGAAACCATCTACTTGCTTGTTAACATTTATCAGTAAATCATATTATACATATATCAGGTGATAAGATGAAACCAATTTTTGATCTACTGTATCTTGTAGTAGAGTAGGAGTAGGTTGGAAGAAAGTTAGGGGCGGGCAGACCAAAACATGGCAGAAATCCATGAAGTCACTGACAAGTGGACTGAGTCATGTTGGTAGATGCAGACTACCTGGCTGGGGTCCGCGAGACGAAAGTCATCAATGGTTAGAGACCTTGAACAACATGGCTGAAAATCGTTTGCAATGGCGCAGGTGCATCCACTCTTTGAGCTCTCTCAAATCCTAATCTTCTGGATTCGTCAGCACCTATACCTTTGTCTTTCTAACCTTATCTCACTGAATTATATTTCTTGAATAATATCTTCGAACCCTAGTCTTCTTTATTAACATTAATACCTCTACTATCTTTATCACTATGGGATTTGATTTGACATTTGCATCTCTGTGCTAATGTGGTATGGTAACGTGAACTTACGTACATACGTACGAAGTTCTTACGTTGCAACTCACTGACTGTAGTAGATCTAATGATTTTCAGTCAATTGGAAGTTTACTTTTAACCTACGTCTACAATGCTATTTCCCATGTATAGGCTGCTCGCATTGAACGTGGCGAAGCTCGAGCTGAAGCAGCTCGTAGACGAGCATTAGATTCTGCTGCTGATTACAATCACCGGTTGATTTCTGAACGTTTAAGTTCAAGACGTTGTTATTGGGATTTACAAACAATGCAAATTCACATTCCTCAAAGAATGTATAAATTACTGGAATATCCAACTTTCCCGAATGGTGCATATCCTGTGGCAGTTATACCTGGACAATTTGCAGAATATTTTGTAAGCTATACTCCTGAACAATTATCATATCTACCATTATCACGTGTTCTATATCCACATCCATTACGAAAGCATAGAAATCCACCTCCTCTTCCTACAACACTACGATTTGGTTCGATTAAACCGAAAGTCAACTTGCCTAATATGTCTTCTTGTGATTTAAATGATCAAAATGCCTTAGGTTTAGATCATTCTAGATTTATGGACTCATTAAACCATCAAACTATGAACACAATGGAAGGTCAGCGAACTAGACATACAAATGGATCACTATTATCAAATGTTACCAGGTGAGATTTTCGAATTTTGCTGTATCATTGAATACTTGTTTTTTAAATCTTATTTTAAAGTATATAGAGGATCGTACTTCTGTTCAAGATTTTCACTTAGAACACTAGTTAGTCTTTGAAGTAGTAAAGTGGATACCATGCTGAAGAGTTCGACTCAACATCCAGGTCCTAATTGATCGGAGAGTAGATGACCTAATAACTAACTTTCTTCAATTCATCTATGATATTTTATCATGTTCCACCTTGCTCGTCAATGATACTGCCCAGATATGTAAAAGCGTTAACATCCTCCAAGGCATCTCTATCAAGAGTGATTTGGTTGGCACATGTTATGTTGTATCGGAGAATCTTGATTTTCCCTTTACGTATGTTTATACCTGCTGCTGCCGAGGCTGCTGCTACACTGGTCGTCTTCTCTTGCGTTTGTCGTTGTGTGTGCGATAAAAGAGCCAGATCATCCTTGAAGTCCAGATCGTCCAGATGCTGCATCCTAGCTGTCCATTGGATACCGTGCTTCCCTCCAGATGTTAGCGTCTTCATAATCCAGCCGATCACCAGGAGAAAGAGGAAGGGTGAGAGTAAGCAACCTTGCCTGACACCGGTCTTCACCTCGAACGAGTGTATCAGCTGTCCTCCGTACACTATTTAGCAGTTTAATCCATCATAAGTATTTCGTATGATGTTGACCATCTTCTCAGGCCCGCCATAGTGTCGAAGAAGCCTCCATAGTGTTGTCCTGTCCACACTATCAAATGTTTGCTTGTAGTCAATGAAGTTGATGTAGAGTGGTGAATTCCATTCAATTGATTGTTCCACAATGATCCGTAATGTTGCGGCCAGCCTGTTGATTTCGAAGTTGAACGTCAACGGAGTCCTTCATTCTGTTTAACGATACCCTGTTAAAAACTTTGCCTGGTATTTAGAGAAAAGTGATGCCTCTGTAGTTCTCACACTTACTGATATCACCTTATTTTGGTATTTTGATGAGGTATCTTTCTTTCTAGTTTGTTGTGTTCGCCGTATTTTCGCCATTCTAATGCATTCAATACAGTCGTCATAAACATAAAGATTAGCATAGGTGTGTTGGCTCAAGCTGAGCTGTCGCTTTAAGGATGGCAAGATGAAATGAACAAGATGTGGGAACAAAGGTGTTCGGAATAATATGTTAGTAGTAGTAATGACAATAAGACCAAATAAGACCAAACATCGACATTGGAGTTTGGAAGGACAAAGTGGATATGTACATATGAAGGAATATTGGAATTCAAATCAAGTGGGGTGGTATGAACGAGGGAATGTGTTTGCTCCACTTTGGATATAACAATCGCCTTGTTGTATGTAATACAACAACTGTTCCTTTGAGTATACTCTATTCTTAAATATTCATTTCATTTCGTTTTAATTGTCAAAGTCAAATACTTCAATGTTGTCTCTTATTGGTCATCCGGACTGTCAATGTCATTTCAAATGTTACTTCCTATCGGTCGTCTTAACTGTCAATGTCACAGAATTCGATGCTGTTTCCTATTCGACCAAAATGTATGAATACGCATTATTTGTAACGTTTTATGACCAGGACCACGACCAGGACCAGGGCTCAGTCTCGGATTCCTAGTCCGGGATCCTGATTCTCTTCTGAATTCGAACCTCCTACTATCTGGATGCTTGTAGAATACAGGTTCTACTTCATATCAAGTCTTGTCTTCTTATTTTTACTCAATATGGGGGGTTGGGATAATCGGATTTGAGTAATAGCATGTCGTGTCACCGGATCCTCGATCCTCGCTCTCGTTTTCTGACTAGATAAATTCGTAGTGGTTCAAGTATATCAAGTTGACGTGTTTACGTGCAGGCGTAACAATTCCTTTCTCTTTATATCTTTTATTTTTTCCTTTTTTTCAGTTCAAACATGTTATCTGGTGGTGGTGTTGGTGATAAATCATCAATTTCTGATGTAGAAACAGATAATAAAACCCATAATTCAATATATCGACGATTCAAGACAAATGCAGAAATCAACACAGACAATAACCCTATTTGTGTTGTATGTGGTCAATTAACTACCAATTATATACGTTGTTCTGAGTGTAAACTAATCGGTCATCCAAAATGCTTGGATATACCTGATTCTATGTTATCAGGTGTGAAAAGGTAAAGTGTGAAATTATTATTATTGTTATTTTTCAATTAGTTATGGAGATTAGTGTTTTTTTGTACAATCAATCATTGTTGGACCACCATTAGAAACCTGGAAGCACTGAGAGTTGGTTGTTTCGTCCTGGTACGGGACTCGTCAGTAACGTGCATCCACGACTCCTTCACCTCGCAGGATTTGAACCCAAGACCTTCGGTCTTGCACTCCAATGCCTTACCTCTGGACAACTGGGCCAACATCCAACGGTGTTGATGTCCACAGATTTCGCGCACAATACCGAATGTCCTGGGTTCGAATCTTGCGAGGTGTAGGAGTGGTGGATGCGCACTGCTGATGAGTCCCATACCAGGACGAAACGGTCGTCCAGTGCTCCCAGGTTTCTAATGGTGGTCTAACTACTATTATTTTTATTATTAGAATAGATGGACGGTGGCTTGCATTTTAGTTCAGGACGCCCTTTCCTCCTTGTCGGCTAGATGTATCTGCATTTCACTGTTGTTATTCACACTGAAACGTAAACCCATTACTTTTTGCTTCAAACGCTAAAGGCGTTATCCACTGAGTTATGTGTCAAGAGAGAATCCGCTTAGAATGCACATATGACAACAGCAGCAACAACAAAAGACTAAATTCAGTCGTAACAATTTACAGTTGGATACTTTAAATATTCACCGAATTATTACTATTTTTTTTACCTGACTATGACTGGTTCCTTCAGTCATGTTATAGTTTAATGATCTTTTTAAATTCGTCTGTTAGGAAGATTTTTAAACAATGATTATTACGGGTTAGAAATGTGACCTAGCTCCGTGGGTGTGGAGTGTTATTATTTATTTAAACACATTAGCATTGGTACAAAGGAGCACCTAAATATTTTTATGCACTATACAAATTATTGAATTTGTGACTGGGCTGGGATACTTCCCGGATGCCTAAACAGAAGTAGGTAGTTTTCTTGGGGAACAACACATTGACTCAAAAGTCTATTCCAAAAGTCAGTGGAACTACGTGCGAAGATGTAGTCCCATGTTAATTGATGACCAACTACAGGTTCATACACCATTGATTTGGAATCAGGGTTTTGGAACTGCTCTAGGTGGATTCTCCATACCCATAAACCTTGTTAAATCACCAGACACACCCATTTTCCATCCTCTCAATTTCGTAAACAATACCTGTACTATGTCAGTCAGTCAGTTGCAACATAGAACTTCGTATGTAAGTACATCAATTCATGTTGCCATACCACATTAGCACAGAGACGCAAATGTCAAATCAAATCCCATAGTGATAAGATAGTAGAGATATTAATGATAATGAAGAAGACTAGGGTTTGAAGATATTATTCAAGAAGTATAATTCAGTGAGATAAGGTTTGAAAGACAAAGTTAGAGGTGCTGACGAATCCAGAAGTTTAGGATCTGAGAGAACACAAAGAATGAATGCACCTGTGCCATTGCAAACGATTTTGAGCCATGTCACTCAAAGTCTCTAACCATTGATTATTATCATCTCGCTGAATCCAACCAGGTAGTCGACATCTACCGACATGGCTCAATCCAGTTGTCTATGACTTCATGGCCGCCCCTAGCTTTCTTCCAACCTACTTCTACACCACAAAACATAGCTTGTCGAGGCAGTCGGTGGTTAGGCATACGCAACACATGTCCCAACCACCTCAACTGATGAAGTTTCACCACTTCATCTATTGATCTGCCATCCTTACCTAGTACTCGTTTCCTAACGACAGCATTGCTTACTCGGTTGTCCCACGGTATATGAACAACATCTATGATCAAATACTAGTAACCTACGAACATCTTCTTCTCTTAACGGCCAAGTCTCGCATCCGTACAGTAGGACGGAGTGGACTGCTGCGCAGTACACCCATCCTTTGGTTAGCGAACGGATATCTTTCCTACGCTATAAATGGCGTGAATTGGCAAAAGCAAATCGAGCTTTTTGTATCTGTGCTGAGATTTCGTCAGTCACCAGGCTATCAGCACTGATGAGACTCCCCAGATAAGTGAAGCGATCAACACGCTCGACTACTTCACTCCCTATCACTAGTTCAGGTGTCATGAAAAGGGAGTGAGCGGGACTTTCTTGATAGTGGCTATATACATGTAACCATATAAAGAGTATTAGAAGGCCGGATATGAACACTTATTACTCATCAGTTAGAAAGCCAAGTTTGTTGAAACTGGGAAATTGTAGTAGGGTGATTGTTTGATGCGCTAGAATTAGCCAATACTTCAAAACTGTTGGGAGTAATAAATCAGTATTTGATCAAGTGCCAGAACTCCATCAATCTATAGCCAAAGTCTATTGTTGATTCACAGAAATCTGAATGTCTATTACTTTTACTCTACCTAAGACTTTCTAATATGCTACATTTAATATTTCACTAACCTTCCTGATAAATAGTCCATTTTACAAAGGATTTTAGAACACAATAATTAGCAGTAATGGTAAAGAGAGAAAAATTTATTAACCTGTGTCATATACTACTGCTTTCAAACAAGTCCTAGATAGTAGTTAATAAAGAATCATCCAGTATATATATATATATAGGGAAGAATTCTATTTTTCATTCCAATGTAACAATTTTTCTTGCCCTCTTTTATAGATTAACACTGTTAACATTCTTAAATTTATGTTACCTAATTTCTTCTTTGTTTATGTTTATTTTAGCTATGATTGGACATGTTTAGAGTGTAAACGATGCGTAGAATGTAACGATTCCGGTCAAGAAGATCAAATGATGTTTTGTGATCGTTGTGATCGTGGTTATCATGCATTTTGTGTTGGTTTAGGACGAATTCCTAATGGAAATTGGGAATGTTTATTGTGTGAATCATTGCCAACACCGCCTAGGAAAGGACGTCCTAGAAAGAATAGACCTAAAGATTCAGATGATTTACCATGGGGTTATAGTGTAAGGAAACCGCGTAAATCAATGCTGAAGCGGAAACTTTATCAAACAACAAGTATCAGTGATATCAAAGACACGTCATTGGTAGTACATAGTTCCAATATTCAATCAGGAGGAGGAGGAGGAGTCACTAGTGCTGACGGAGTAGTAGTACCTACTAAACGACGTCGAGGTCGTCCACCGACAAAAAATCGCATTATTGCATCACTTCCACCTCCATCATCTCCATATTTTTCAAATTCAACTAATTTTAGTCCTCGTTCGGAAGTCTCGATACCTCCACCAGCTTCTCCATCTACACCATTATCGATCAAAATGTCTATTCCTGACAACGAATCATCAAAAGTATGCTCGGTTGTTAACACTGTTCCTACCAAAATAGAATCTTCTGTTGAGGAAAAAATTGATATTTCTGACAATTCTGAACATTTAAAACCGAATAATGTTAATAATGATAATATTAGCACTAATACAATTGATCAAAATGAAAATAACACTGAGAAACATGCTAGTGACATGCAAATTCCTTCAACAAATCTACCTGATCTGAACAATAATGAAAACTAATGCTAACCATGCAATAAACTTGTGTTGACCATTAATTTTTTCTACTCCCTTCAACCTTTGTATATTTATCCTTTGTACTTGAAATATCCTAATTTCGTTTTTTAATAAATAATATTCAATTACACTGGTTTCTATCTTTTGCTAATAAATAATGTGTTTACTGTTGTAAGTTAGTTGTCTCATTTGTTTATGAATTGGTGATTCCCATTTAACACGCAACAACAAATGCAATAGAAGACGACCAGCGTAGCAGCAGCCCCTGCAGCAGTAGGTCTCAACATACATAAAGGAAAAAGCAAAATTCTCCGATGCAACACAACATGCACCAACCAAATCACTGTTGATGGAGATGCCTTGGAGGACGTTAACAACTTTACATATCTGGGCAGCATCATCGACGAGAAAGGTGGATCGGATGCAGATGTGAAGGCGCGGATCGGCAAAGCAAGGGCTGCATTTCTACAGTTGAAAAATATCTGGAACTCCAAACAACTTTCAAACAAAACCAAAATCAGGATTTTCAATACAAATGTGAAGACAGTTCTACTGTATGGAGCGGAAACATGGAGAACTACCAAAACCATCATTCAGAAGATACAAGTGTTTATTAACAGCTGTCTACGCAAAATACTTCGGATTCGTTGGCCAGACACCATCAACAACAACGAACTGTGGGAGAGAACAAATGGAGGAGGAAATCAGGAAGAAACGGTGGAAGTGGATAGAACATACACTACGAAAAGTACCTAACTGCATCACGAGACAAGCCCTCACATGGAACCCTGAAGGCAAAAGGAAAAGAGGAAGGCCAAGGAACACACTACGCCGAGAAATAGAGAAAGATATGAGAGGAATGAACAAACATTGGACAGAACTGGAGAGGGAAGCCCAGAACAGAGTTGGTTGGAGAAAACTGGTGGGCGGCCTATGCTCCATTCGGGGTAACAGGCGTAAGTAAGTAAGATTCTGGTTTAAGCATGAAAAAAAAACAGAATTCAGTGAAGGGATTTTCGTCCGATCGTACACAAAGTTTGGTCTGCATTTTGAAGATAACAAGAGCTTCTGTTGTGCTGTTTTTTCGTCAAGGAGTTAGTTGAATACACAGAAATCTTGTCAGATGTAGATGAATCGTATAAGCGACCGTGAAATCAAACATGTGGTTTAGTTGAGTAATAATAGAATCGGCTAAATGTTCAAACGATAGAACTGACTGGTTTCCTGATATGCTCGAAACTATTACGGGTTCACCTTACTTGGTAAACGGAGAGCAGATCAATGATCTAGTGACACGATAAGCTATTCTCATTCGATCGTCTCAAGCCTCACTAACTAGAGGAAGAGGTCTTGATAAGACGTACAGAAATGTATTCCACAGGCACCCAGAAAGTATGAGGTCAACAAGTACACAACTCAAGCTTATTTATACAATGATAAAATGCCCAAGGATTCCCCGAGTGGGAAACGCAAGCTGAAGGTCAAAATGAGCGTCTTTGGCACGAAAACATAAAATTCAAAATTTCCAACGAAAATGACAAAATTAGGACCTTTTCCAAGTGAGTTCTGAGGATCTAACATCCCCGACGTTTCCTCTCATCCTTGTAGAACTATGCTGAAATATGTTCTTGTATCTGTGTTACAAGCAAGCTTTCGTTACGACCTGTAAGTACCTTGCTTCATAGGAGCATGCAAATTGGTAGGTGCATATGAAGACAACTAAATGGAAGAGCTTTATTTCTTACGCATTTTACGGAAGATAGGTTTCTGATTTTAAATGTTAGTCGCGATTCTGCTACATAGAACATACTTTTATTTACTAAATATAGCTAATTATTAAATTACATTAGAAGCTTGTTCACTTTTAAATTCTTACTTTCCTTACGCCTGTTACCCCTCATGCAGCACAGGCCGCCGACCAGCGAATTATTTTTTTGGTTAACGTATTTTTAGCGAGTTGGATTTCTGCGGGAAGGCGTCGCTAACCACATGCCCGACCTTAATCTTTTATCCGGGTTTGGAAACGGCAGTAACCCTAGAAGGGCTCCAGGCCGAGTTTTTAAATTCATATAAAGGATATTTAACTCGAGAAGAGATTTCTGGGAATCCTCGTTCCGAATTTTACATTTTTATCCAAGAAGAACAGTTTGGGCAGCCATTTTTAGTTGAGATTCTTCCGAGGAAGTTAAGTTCTTCCTTAATACTACCGATCTTACTTATTCTCTAAACATTTTTTTTCTCTTCATTGCCATAGTATAATAGCAGCTCTCCTGAAGCTAGTACTTGTTGTTCAACATGTGTCCAATGAGTTCCACTGATTCCAAGCACCTCTAGGTTTGCATCTTTTCATTTCTGCAGCAACTTAGGTGACTTTCCCTATCTTCCACATTGTACGAAAATTCCATGTACCTAAAAAAAGAATGTTTGCTCTGGTTGTGAGAAAGGGCATCGGTCTCTCGACTTCCGAAGGAACTCGTCTTTCATTATGAGTCATCATAACTCTTCCAAGTGAAGATCTAACTCTCAGAATAGATTTTAAATGGCTTGAATTATGTTTTCTGGTTAGCGTTTTCTTTTAGCGAGTTAGTTTTCTACGGGTCGCTAACCCTACACTCAACCCTCCTCCTTTATCCAGGTTGGGACTACTGGCAGTAGCCTCAAAGAGGCTCCAGGCGGAGTTATTTTGGTAAACATGAAAAAGTGAATAGGATTCCTCTTTTGTGCTTAATGTAGCCCAGTTATAGGAAATGATTATTGTTTATACCATATAACGTAGTGTTGTAATACTTTTTATTATATCATGTTTACTCACTGAATGAATACTTAAAATTCCATATACACGTAAATTTACCATTGTATAGATCGATAATAAATTTACTAAAATGAGACCTTTTCATTTGAATTTCATGTTTATTTTTAAATTGTTAGTTCAATTAATTATACATAACATTTATGAAAAGATACTTTGCCCCGGTTATAATTATTTAGCAAGATTACTGTTCAGATGATGGTCTAACAACATTGATCAATTCATGATTTCAGTAAAGCAACTCAACAATCTCCACAACCCTGACATACAAAGTATCATGTATGTGCTCAATAGTGACTAGCTTCGTTAGGAAGTTTCTCCGAGTTCTAGTGAGAAGTCATGACCACCAGTGGTGTTCAACTCTGTTCGAATGTGTGAAGCAATACTCACTGTGGACAGTGGATCAGGTTGCTCCGAGACTGTGGGTTGATAGAAGTTAGACCTTGACACTGTTGAATGCCGACTCAGTGATCAGGAGGTTTGGCGTTTTAGAGGAAGACTGAAGGTCGATTTTCACATGTGGAGCTATGGGTGCATAATGCTGATGAGTTCCACACCAGAACTAAATGTTTGCCTGATGTTTCTAGGTTTTAATGGTGGTCTGATATTGATCGATTCATGATTTTAATGCAACTCAAGAATCTCCACCATAACCCTATCATGACAATATTTCTTATGTTGAATTTCTATTTGTCATTATTTTAACGCTTATTTACTGATTCCTGTTACCGCCAACGGAGGAGCATATGCCATCGACCAGCATTCTCCAACCTACTTTGTCCTGGTCCTCTGTTGGTTATGTGGTGATTGGCATTACGTACGATTCTGTCCATTTAAAAAACGTAAATTTCAGATGTGCAACAAACGTGGACATAAAGAAGGCCATTGTCAACCAAATCGTACGTCTCAGCCCAGGAAGAAGCATAAACGTACTCGACATGTGGTGAAATTAGCCGAGTCTAAATCACTTTCTCTGGTAGCTGCTTTCCAAACAGACTATGACGTTCGGAGAAAGTATGTGACTATCCAGATGAACGGTGCATCAGCTCGTTTTCAAATCGACACGGCATCAGATATCACCTTAATGTCTAGAGAAACGTATAACTAGCTGGGAAAACCGCCAATGAAGCCTTCTAAGAAAACAGCTAAATGCGCTTCAGGTGGTGTGTTAAAACTGGTAAGTGAGATACAGTGTGAATTTTCCTTCAACGGAACAAAATGTACAGGAATAGGTTATCTGACAGAACGGCCAAACCTTGATCTTCTTGGTCTAGATATGCTAGAAAAACTGGGAATAATGGATTTACCCATTAACAGTGTCTGTAGCGTGTCGTGTTCATCATTGGACACCCCGACACTTACAAAGAAGACAGGTGAAAGGTTACTTGATAAACGGAAGAGGAAGTCAGCCTCTGTTTTTCAGAATAGCCTTGGCCGCTGTAATAATATGAAAGCTCACCTACCAGTGAAAGCAGATGCCGAACCTATTTCACGTCCGAGACGCCCTATACCGTATGCTGTTCATGAGCCTCAACAAAACTTATCGACGGGGAAGCAGTCCAATCGACGGTTGTTTAAAGATATGGCTCCTACAAAGTAGCCGGCTCGTAAGAGTACGGGTGGCAAGGCACCCAGGAAGCAGTTGGACTCTAGCACCAGATCCTACGAATTTTCTCAAAGGGGAGGTGTTAGTGGGACATAGATGGAATAAAGCATGACTGCGTCAGCTGCGCGCTGATTGGCTAATTTCCTATCCAGTCAGCGCCTGATCGATTCTTGGAGAACAGGGTAGAAAATTCTCGTATTGTTAGTTGCATACTGATTGGCTAAATCTAATCCAGTCACGTGAATTTCTATCCAGAAGCTTCTCATGTAAATGCCATACATAAACTAACGTTCTATCTATTTTTGCCTTCGCCTTCGCCATCACCTTTGGCTTCTTATTTCCACTGAACCTTGCTATTTGGAATATAATCTTTTTCTGTTCAACCGTGTTTTTGATTCTTTGGGACTTGTTCAGTGTATTGTGGTCAGAGAATACTAAGCAATAGGAATTAGCCGGGAATCATTTGAGCAAGCGTTACAATAGCCTCCCTTTCTAGTTTCGCCCAACTGTTGTTCATTCTCCTCATATCTCTCCTTTTCTCGGCGTAATGTGGTCTTCCTCTTTTCCTTTAGCCTTGAGGATTTCATTCCATGCTGGCAGCGACGCTAAACTCCACCTGGAGTCTCTTTGGGTCTACTGCCGATCCCAAGCCCCGATAAAGGAGGAGGGTCGGGTATGGGGTTAACGACACAATCCCATAGAAAACTGACTCGCCAGGAAAAATAATTCAGACAATTGCTATTTTTTGACTCTAGTTACTTTTTATCGTGTTAGTTTATCCTCTTGTTTTAATGTAATTTATTGGATACTACTTAATAAATTTATATATATACATATATATACTATGAAACAATAATAAAAACGATCTAAAACATTATTATTATTTTATTTTTTGAATTTATCATGCAAAATCGATACAGCAGTACCATATGGATAGATATAATCTTTATCTTTTACTTTAGGATGACATTGATTCGGTTTCACTTCAATAATTGTCCCAGTTAATTGTGACAGTGTTGATTTGTCAAATTTAAATGCCAGTATACAATGTATTCCGTAGAGAAATTCAATTGCTTTACATTCTTGATGAATAGCACAAGCGAAACGGCAATTATCTATGTTATATGCAAGATTATTAAGTCTAAAAAGAGAAATATTATGTATGTATATTTGACTGACTGACTGAATGATTGGATGTACGAAACTGTTAGGATATTCATCCAATATCCTAAGAGAATTATTGGTCAAATCCTATTGGTCTATTTTTATTGGTCAAAATTATGGTCGTTTTAACTGTCAAAGTCAGATACTTAAATGTTGTTGCTTATTGGTCATCCTGACTCTCAATGTCACTTCAAATGTTGCCTCCTATTGGTCGTCCTAACTGTCAATGTCACAGAATTCGATACTGTTTCCTATTCGACCAAAATGTATAAATACGCATTATGTGTAACGTTTTATGACCACAACCAGGACCAAGGGTCGGTCCCGGATCCCTAGTCCTTGGTGTGCGAGAACTGTTGGTACACACCGGCTGTTGAGATCGAATTACATGGAATGAGTTTCAAATCATTCGTTGAGTGGTTGGTTTATTAGCCGAGTACTTTAACTATCAGGTTACATATGGTATTCAGCTTCTGAGTTTGATCATCATCGAGAGTCTAGCTGATGAAAATCATAACACTCCATATAATAAATTCAATGACATTAACTGTTTTTTTTTAATTGTGATAAGATTACTGATTTAAACATGATGAAAATACTTGGTGAATTTATTCCCATTTCATGGATGATGTTAATAATGCCAGTTGACGAATAATAATTGAATATGTACGATTATTTCATCACTATACGATTCAGTATGAATGACTATGTTACGCCTGCCCGTAAACACGTCAACTTGATATACTTGAACTATTACGAGTTTACCTAATCAGAAAACGAGAGCGAGGATCCGGCGACATGACATGCTACTACTCAAATCCGATTATCCCTAACCCCATATTTAGTAAAAATAAGAAGACAAGACTTGATATGAAGTAGAACGTGTATTCTACAAGCATTCGGAAAGTACGAGGTCCGAATTCATAAGAGAATCAGGATCCCGGACTAGGGATCTGGGACCGAGCCCTGGTCCTGGTCGTGGTCATAAAATGTTACAGATAATGCTTATTTATACATTTTGGTCGAATAGGAAACAGCATCGAATTCTGTGGTATTGACATTTAAGACGACGAATAGGAAGTAACATTTGAAGTGACATTGATAGTCAGAACAACCAATAAGAAACAACATTGGAGCACGTGAGATTGATATCTTGGACGACCATAAAATTGACCAGTAGGAATTAACCAATAGGAATTGACCAAAAATTGTCTTAGGATATTGGATGAATATCTTAACACATTATAGAATAGAGACTAGACTTGTCTGTCATGTTAACTTAGTTTAATTAGACGGATTGAGATATAACAATGCATGCACTACAGACTTTCATTATTTTCGTATGGAATGAATTACTACGGACGAAATAAAACACTTCAAATTGTCTTTGTCTACTGTATAGTATTCAAAGATTGATTGCTGGATTTAGATTAGATTGGGAAATATCTAAAAGTGGTCAGATGACACTAGTTTATGAAGTTATTGGCTGTTAATATGAGTTGTAAAATTTACTCTTGTAGCAACCCTAGTTTAAACCAACAACAAGTTAATTCTATGGATCAGTTCTATTGAAATAATGAGTCGATCACTGTTAGACTACCACCATTAGAAACCTGGAAGCACTGAACGGCGGTTTCGTCCTAGTATGGGACTCATCAGTAGTGCGCATCCACGACCTTCGCCCACGGAAATCGAACCCAGCAGCTTCGGCATAGCGCGCGAACGCTTAACCTGTAGAACACTGAGACGGCATCTTAATATCTTTAGACAATCCGAGCTATTGTGCAACCTCATCCATTGTCTTCGGTAGTTACTGCCTACATCCGACCTGGTTGACCTCTACAGGTCACGACCTCTCATTAGGAATCCAAGACTTTTCTCACGAAGCTAGTCGATCTCCGCTTCCGGACGTCGGGGTTACGTACTGCTGATGAGTCCTATGCTAGGATGAAACGGCCGTCCGGTGCTTCCAGTTTTCTAATAGTGGTCTAAAACTGACCGATTCATAATAATCTCCATAAGTGTATGGTGAAAATGACTTTTATGTTATTTATTAGGGGTTATCTATTGCATGGTATTTAATTCACTTAATATCTATTAGCTTATACTTCTTTTAATTTTTAATGAAAATTAATTTATTATATTGATATGAATGCACGAATGTAGCTGCTATCTCAATGTGGCGTTCGCGTTTGCCTATCGTGATGACCTAGCCGAGCTATATTGGCTGGAATATAAGTTCCTTTAGGTCCAACCATGCCAAGCTGGTCGATTGGACAACGGTGAGGCTAAAAGCAGCAGCTACTCACGGTCTGAGGGCGAAGTCGTACTGTTGCTTGTAGAGGACAACCGGCATCTACAGCGCAGCTGCCTTCTAACAAGGAAGAAAGGGGTTAGAAAAGATCGACCCTGAAAATGTCACACTTCACCTTACCCCACAGATTTCCGTCCTCTACGGTAAGACCTTTTAAAAAGAGGTGGAGCTAACACTTTAAAAACTTCCCATAAAAAGGTACGTGCGTGACCGGCTTCAAGCAGTTGTCTTTTGTGCTTTGCGATCACGCCGCTAAGTCTTTAAAACCAACGCTAATCCCATTTCCTTCTTTAGGTTCCCCGAGAAATAAATACCCTCCTACGGTTTAAGCAGCCGTTGGAAGTGATATCCACTCCCATTCATAACCGTAACAGCAAACGAAACCGAAGTGACTTATTATAAATATAGTCAAATAAATATTCATTCTCGAATGTTACACCCTATATATATATATATATACAATACAGACAGACAGATACAACGCAGAACTTCTTACGTAAGTACATCAGTTCAGGTTGCCATGCCCCATCAGTACAGAGACGCAACTGTCAGTTCAAATCCAACAGTGATAGCAATAATAGAAGTGTTAGCAGTAATGGAGAAGATTAGGGAGCAAAGATATGATTCGAGAAGTATAATTCAGTGAGATAAATTTAGAAGGAGAAAGATAGAGATTATGAGGAATGTAGAAGCTTACAATTTCATAGAACACAATACAATCCAATCTAAACTTACCGTCCAAAATCACTTCTTGTATGCTCTGAATAAAATGTATAATAAGTACAAAATGGATAATATTCATTTGTTTCAAATGAACATTGACGTCCTAATTCACTAGATGAATCATAAATTAATTTTGATTTGGTTGATAAATTCTCCATACTCCAGCCGAGTATTTTATACCAATTAGCACATGCACCAACATCATATTCTCTTATACCGTTTGTTAGAATTTCCAAAGTCATTACATTTTTTGCGCATAATTCAAATTCTGTGTCATTTTTTAATTTACAATATAAATTAGATTTTAATTTAGTTGATGAAGATTTCATAGTTTTTGATTTTGGTTGACTGTTCAAAAAAAAGGGAGAAATAATATTTTGATTATTGTCAATTTTTTAAAAATGTTCAATAATGCATTGTTTAAATTATTGCTGTTCAAGATTTCAATATACATGGAATTTGAAAAATGAAGAAGTATTTAGGATATTTGTATTGATATTAATATACTTACTTACTTACTTAGTTAGTTAGTTAGTTACGCCTGTTATCCCCAATGGAGTATAATAACCCACCGACCAGTATTCTCTAACCTACTCTGTCCTAGGCGTCCCTTTCCAGTTCTTTCCAATTTTTTGTGCATTCTTCTCATGCCTCTTTCAATTTCTTGACGTAATATGTTCTTTGGCCTTCCCCTTTTCTTTTGACCATGAGGGTTCCATGTGAGGGTTTGTCTTGTGACTCAGTTGGATGCTTTTTGTAACACGTGTCTTATCCACTTACACCGCTTCTTCCTGATTTCCTCCTCCACTGGAATCTGATTTGTTCTCTCCCACAGTAAGTTGTTACTGTTAGCGGCTGGCCAACGAATCCGAAGTATTTTCCCAAGACAATTGTTCATAAATACTTGTATCTTCTGGATGATGGCTTTGGTAGTTCTCTAAGTTTCCGCTCCATACAGTAAAACTGTCTTGACATTTGTATTGAAAATCCTGATTTTGGTGTTGATTGATATTTATTTGGAGTTACAGATATTTTTCAATTGTAGAAATGCAGCCCTTGCTTTGCCGATCCGCACCCTCACATCTGCATCGGATCCATCTTGTTTGTCGATGATGCTGCCCAGATATGTAAAGGTGTTAACGTCCTCCAAGGCATCTCCATCATGAGTGATTTGGTTTGCTTATGTTGTGTTGTGTTGATATCAATATAGAATCATTTAAAAAGAATAAAATGATTATTACGTATTCACTTGACGAAATCCATATTTACGCTATAATTATTTTTCACTGTGATTAATATTTATGACTAGAAATTTTATTGACCAAATAGGTTTTAACGCTTGTTTTCAACGTTCGTCCACGTACTCCTTATAGGCAATCTTATTGGTAACATCCACCACATTGGCAGTAATTCTACTGAGGACTTGGAGTTTCAAACAGTGATCCTTCCGAGAAACTGATCTAGGCTACAAATAAAGAGCGTTTTATGTTTTTTACTCAGTGATCTAAAAGTAAGTCCTTGGATTGATCATAGTTAGACATTAACACCCCGACCGTAGCTGCTACCTTGACGTGGTGGTCGGGCTTGCCTATCGTGATGACCCAACCGAGCTATACTGGCTGGAACATATGTTCCTGCAGGTCCTACCATGCCAGGCTGGTCGATTGGAGAACGATGAGACTAAAAGCAGCTACTCAAGGTGTGAGGGCGAAGTCGTACTGCTGACTGCAGAGGGGTGCGACATCAGTAAGGTGTTTCCCTCGGATAACCAGCATCTGCAGCGATGGTGTCTTCTCACAAGGAAGGAAGGGTTAGAAAAGGTTGGCCCTAAAAATGTCACACCTCCCCTACCTCACGGATTTCCGTCTCCTTGGGTAAGTGTGCCCACTAAAGGCCTTTAAGAACGGAGCCAATACTCAAAATACCTTTCATAAAAAGGCCGTGCGTGACCGGCCTCAAGCAGTTGTCCCTTGGACTCTGCGGTCACGCAACCAGGTCGTTAATACCAACACTAATCTATCTTCCTTTTCAGGTTCGTCAAGAAACAACCTTCCACGGTGTGGGCAGCCTTGAAGTGACAACCGCCCTCATACCCGTAACATCACGAGACATTAACACCATTGGTGCCAGCTTAGTGGTCTAGAGGTTAGGCGTTTGCCGAAGTTCCTGGGTTGGATTCACGCTAGCAGGGATTTTGGATATGTATCGCTGAGGAGTCCCATAATAGGACGAAACGACCGTTGAATGTTTCCAGGTTTTCAATAGTGATCTACCAATGATTGATCTACGATTTCAATGTAAGTGTGTAAGTCGTTGTTTGTCACGAGACCTGATGATTCTTGGTTCATTTACCCGTAGGGTCATGGACACACGTTGTTCAGAAGTTTCAAACTATGGACAAACGACTGTCAAATCACTGCCTGTTTTCAATCAATGTCTTACTAGTATCATTTAACAAAACAAATTGTTCAATATAATAGATTAAATCTATTTATAAAAATGCATGTCTATTAAATGTGATTGGAAACTAAATTGATGAATAGATAACACTTACTATTTAAAACAATCCGGATAGTAAACACCTTCATGAATTAAAGGTATTTGACATTCTATTTGTGTAGTACTTGTTAATCGAATATGTCGAGTGTGTTTAATTATTGTCTGAAATTAAAATAAAAAAAAATATAAACATACCGAGAACAAGGCAATTATTCTTTGAAAAATAATGAACTATAATCTATTAGTAGGAGGTTTTCAGTTTTGTAACATTATCTCGTAAGTCATAGTCATGCTGTGGTGTGGGGTACTTATAAGTAGTATATGACGTGAGTGTCAACGTAATGTCTGGTGGCAGCAGAAGATGGGGGAACATCAAGAAAGGAAGAGTTAGAACACAATGGAATCTGTATGAAACGCATGAATAGTGACAATGGATTGATGTTTTGTAACAGGAACAGTTCAGTTCGATGTAGATGAACTGATATTTTGCAAATTAACGATTTACTGAGTAACTCTGTAATTTTCGTTTAGAATACAATTCGGTTGCCCCCACCTGTGTTCTCGTTTACTACAATGTTAGGGAATATGCATTTCATTCTCTTTGAGTGATTCTACTGTCGTGATTTTGCCATGACACTTGGAATCAGTCTTTTATTAATTCATAAAGCGACCAACAATAGTGTTGGGGACGTTAGATCCCCAGAACTCACTTGGTAAAGGTCCTAATTATGGATTTTATGTTTTCGAGCATGAGCTGATCAGCTGACCTTGAGATTACATTTCTCACCCGGGAAATCCTTGGCTGTGATTGGTTGATGTATTATTTTAGTACTCTATTTTTGTGGCTCTCCCAAAGACGTTTCTATGATGTATAAATAAACGCGATTTGTATGCATGCGATCATTGTGTTTGCTGGGTGTTTGTAGAGTACACTTTCTACGCCATATCAACACTTTTGCTTCAGTTAGTTGGGGCAGTGGATAAGAGTTGCCTATCGTGTCACAGGTTCATTGTCTCATTCTCATTTATCGACTAAGGTGAACTCGTAATAGTTTCAAGCATTTCCGATTTGACGAGCATCACAAGACCCCAATAATTGTTGCTCAGTTTAAATTTTTTGAAATTGACATTCTTGGTTGTATGTAGTCAAACGAAAAATCTTGATCATTGAATTTTTCAAGTGATTTCATTTTATTTCAGTTTCTCATATTTGATTGTTGGAGTAAGTCAATTATTAAAAATCCATTTATAATATTCAAGTGTTTCACACTTAATTTAAACAATTAACGTTGTAGTGTGTCAAGGGCTACGGGGCTTACCCCAGCCTTTGGACCAATAAGTCAATCCATTCTTTCGGAGTCACTCACTATTCACACATCTTTTGACCTGTTCAATCATTCACTTAAAAACTTGGTTGTTCTTACTTGAGTGTACGTATGGTGTGTGTGTGTGTGCATTACTTACTTCGCTTAATTTGTCTGACTATAAATACTCAGTGCATGCCTCATCATAACACTGAGTTGGCCAGTTCGCCTTGTCCACTTCACTTCGCTTTGTTTTGTTTGTACGCTTTTCATTCTCGTCTATTTGAAAAATATTTTTTCATTGCCTACTCGATCACTTGTCCAAATCGGCGGAGTTAGATCGTAGACCACCACTAAAGTGATAAGCCGTATTGTGCTGCGAGCTACTTATAAGTAGTAGTATATGACGTGAGTGTCAACATAATGTCTGGTGGCAGCAGAAGATGGGGGGAAGATCAAGAAAGGAAGAGTTAGAACAACACAATGGAATTTGTATGAAACGCATGAATAGTGACAATGGATTGATGTTTTGCAACAGGAACAGTCCAGTTCCATAGGATGAACTGATCTTTTGCAAATGAACGATTTACGATATGGTTTTCTGATTTAACTGAGTAACTCTGTAATTTTCGTTTAGAATACAATTCGGTTGCCCTCACCTGTGTTCTCCTCGTTCACTTACAGTGTATTTCGAATGTAACGCAACCACTTAAAAAAAAAGCATGTCAAAATATAAAATTCATAAAAACCAAATTAAAAACTTACATCATTTACTCGGTAATCATTTTGTGGTTTAAATGTTTTACATTCAGTTGCTTTTGTCCATTCTTTCGGTTTAGGACAATTACATTCACGATAACGTAGTCGTGTACATGTGGCTAGTTCACATTTACTCCATCTTGACCATTTACACCAATTGCCTAATTGCAGTGTATGTTCACAATCATCAATGATAAAATAAATTCTTTTCATTGGACGAGACTTTTTAACTTGACATTGGATGAAATTTATTGTTAGATAATCATTGATAATAATTGAAATAATCGTCAACCATTTGAGGGAATAATGTATCATCATTAAGGAGGAATATGAAAAGAAACAATTAGTCAAAATACACGGCGGATAAAAATGATATGAATCTCTCTCTGTGTGTGTGTGTGTCAGAAGATCGAAACGATTTAAATCGCAAAAATCGATAGTTCATTCATATCAAGGTCTAATAGGTTTTTATTAAGTTGTTTTTCTTGATTCATTGAGTCAATATTATCCACAAGTAGGTCATTTCATTTCATAAGTAGTATACTGAAACAGTTGAAATTAAACTACTGTTTGTTAAAATTGTTAGTTAGAGGAATCTGTTGTTTTGTGACATTTAAACCCAGTCGCTGAATAATGCTATCTCAATATTGCTCTAATTTACAAAATAAAGTTACTTAGTCTTGTTACCCATAGTGGAGTATAATCCACTGACCAACATTCCCCAACATACTCTGTCCTAGGATGGGATTTCCAGTTCTATTTAATCGCTGTTCATTCTTCTCATATGTACTTCCTATTCTCGTCGTGTTGTGTTCTTTGGTCTTTCTCTTTTCCGGGTTTTGGCTTGTCTTACGACGAAGTTGGATGCCTTCCTGGATGTGTGTTCTATCCACTTCCTACTCCTCTAATTTCCTCCTCTTAAACGGATCCGAAGTGTTCTCCATAGACAACCGTTAATAAACGGCTGTGTGTTGTAGGTGATGGCTTTCTTAGTTCTCCAATTTTCCGCCCTATACAGTAGATCTGTGTTGACATTTGTATTGAAAATTGTGACTTTGATGTTTGTTGACAGTTGTTTTGAGTTCCAGATGTTCTTCAATTGTATAAATACTTCACTGGCTTTGTCACTTTTCACAGTAAAGTAAGCAATGTGATATGAGTTAATTTTTGAAAGTTGGTTATTATTTTTACTCATGCTGTTGATAAAGACAACTACTCTCCAACTAAATGAAGGTGATGAAATGTTTTTTAGACTCTAAGTTTTATGCGATAACCATTAATAGTACTTTAATCATTTTCAGTAGTTTATAATGTTCATCAAAATGTATTGAGCAGATATCAATATTGAAATAAATTAACTGTTGATGAATATGATAAATTTATTTATTTTGTCAATTTTCCTCAGCTTTTGAAAATTCTTTGTCATAAATAAAAAAAAGCTCAAACTCTCTCACTCTTCTTCCTCTACTGAATTTTTGTTTTCTAACGACTATCTCATCGATTTCTATGATACTTCCAACTTCTCCAAACGACTAATTCACCCCCATCATCTTTATTGTGCATGCATCGCTGTCCTATCCACAGGATGTACAGGATATGCAAATATAAAAAAAACACTGGTCAATATATTTATCCGTAGGTTAGTAGTTTTCGATCATCGGTGTCTCCTAAGCATTGCTCGTACATCTTGAGACAACCGAGTAAGGGACGGTAGATCAATTTATGAAATAGTGATTGTTCATCAGTTGAGGTGGTTGAGATATGTTTTACGAATGCCTAACCACCGACTGTCTAGACGAGCGATGATTTGTGATGTAGGAGTAGGTCGGAAGAAAGTTGGAGGCGACCAAACCAATACATGACACAAATCCATGAATTCCACTGACTAGTGGACTGAGCCATGTTGGTAGATGTAGGCTACCTGGTTGGGGTCCACGAGACTATCGTAACCGATGGTTAGAGACTTTGAATGAAATGGCTCGAGATTGTGTTCAGCAGCACAGATGCATCCGTTCTTTGTCTTCCTTTAAATTCTAATCTGCTGAGTTCTTCATGACCTTCAGCTTTCTCTTTTTACATTTATTTCGCTGGATTACACTTCTTCGATGATATTTTCGAACTTTAATCTTTTCCACCATTGATAACACTTATATTACCTCTACTACTATAGGGTTTGAATTAATGATTGCGTCTCTCTGTATTTATGTAATATGGCAACTTGAACGGATGTACGTACGTACGAAGTTCATAGTTGTAAATTTCTGACTGACTGCCTCACTAATCATGGTATAACCTAGAATGTCAACAGTATGATCATTTGAATACTTACTATCAATGATAATATAAATTAAAAAAGTTAAAATTTATCTCAGATTATTATTTAAAAAATCGTTATAAAAACTAATTGAAATCATTGTCAACTATATTTTAATCGTATCTTAAGATGATTTATTTTTAGCCGAAATAGAATGAACTTTTTATTTTATGAACAATAAATTTAAAATAATAATAATTATTATTGAAAAGATTACATCAATTTCAAATTTTTCGATTTCATTTCTATTCTTTTGTTTTTATTGCTTAAAACATTGAATATTGTACAATTATATTCTTACCGCGAACTATTCAAATCATACATTGTAATGTGGTGTGAGCTACTCATGAGTAGTAGTATATGACGTGAGTGTCTACGTAATGTCTGGTGGCAGCAGAAGATGGGGGAAGATCAAGAAAGGAAGAGTTAGAACACAATGGGATTTGTATGAAACTCATGAATAGTGACATTGGATTGATGTTTTTCAACAGGAACAGTCCAGTTTGATATGATGAACTGATATTTTGCAAATTAACGATTTACAATATGGTTTTTCTATTTTACTGAGTAACTCTGTAATTTTCGTTAAATACAATTCGGTTGCCCCACCTGTGTTCTCCTTTACTACATTTGGTGTCGCTGCCTGCTCGAAGGAAGGAGCCCCCGTGGCAGAGGAGTTGGAGGACGGAGATTCGCGGAGCTTCCTGGAGGAGTTTAAGGCCGCGGTGGAGCTGGTGTGTGTGAAGGGGTCCGGGGCGGAGTTGGCTGTGCCGGGGACATTGCGGGGAGGTGAGATGAAGGCGGTATACGACAGCCTGGACAGTGCCGCCGGGAAGACGGCGTGGGAGACGGTCACCGGGCGGCCGATGACGGAGTTCGACAGCCCGGTGGACGGCGAGGAGGCGCCGCAGAGGTTCTGGTTGGCGAGGCTGTGGAGCTCACGATGTTGCTACGCCGTGCACTGCCGAGTATGGATGGGGAGTCGGGGGCACAGTTGTTGGAGTCGCAATTTATCGAGAGTGTGCCTGCCGCCGTGTCCCAGCAGCGGGAACTAGTAAACGCTACACGTTGGATAGATGCCGTACCCATTCCAGATCAGCGGTCAAGAACAATGACCGAAGTGGTAACGTGTCACGGAATACGGAAGGTGATATTAACTGACCAGGGTTCCTGTTTTGAAGGACTACGACGACAACTTATTAAAAGGGGGGAGGAGTGTGGTGCGAGCTACTTATAAGTAGTATATGACGTGAGTGTCAACGCAATGTCTAGCAGAAGAAGATGGGGGGAAGATCAAGAAAGGAAGAGTTAGAACACAATGGAATTTTGTATGAAACGCATGAACAGTGAAATGTCAGACAATGGATTGATGATGGACTGATATTTTGCAAACTAACGATTTACAATATGGTTTTCCGATTTTACTGAGTAACTCTGTAATTTTCGTGAAATACAATTCGGTTGTCCCACCTGTGTTCTCCTTTACTACAGTAATACATAATTCGTGTGTTTTTTTTAAATAAGTAAAGAGAATACTTTTTTTCAGTCTGAATTAGGTTGTAACATTCCTACAAAAGAAAGACGGGATTATTATTATTATTATCATAATACTTACTATAATCATCACTATGATTCCTTTCATCAACCATTTTCTTTATACTTTTCAAACTGAGTAAAATAATTTGATCAATGTTCAATCTATACACACACATGCACACACACATATGTGTGTGTGTACACTAAGATGTTTTGTTTCATATTTTTTCCTAATCTATCGGGGGTTATTTTGATGTCACAATAGGTTACATTTATGCAAAAGTTACTTTTGTTTATCTGCAATTCACTTTCGTTTTTTTGATCTCTTTTATATTCCTTTCACATTCCTTTTCATCGTCCAATTCTTCTTCACTTTTTCTTTTATTTCATTCTTTGAGGAGTTTCTTTTATTCTCTCTCTGTGTGTGTGTGTGCGCAATTATCTACTTGTTGTTCGATTATTATTGCTATTATTATTCTTATAGAAAAGAGAAAAAAAACGATAACAAAGAGGGAGAGCAAAAAACAACAACGTTGGGAATAGAGTCATTAAACTGTTGAACTTGTTTATTACTATGCTTTGCATTGTTGTGCTTTGTGTTTGTTCAATTGTTGTTTTTAGCCTTATTTATTACTTACTCAAGATATTGAGTAATTTTCTTTACTTTTCTTCTGATTGCTGTTTATGATTTGTTTTTTTTTATAGTTTAACTTCTTTATTCACCTGTTGTTTTTATTCATTTTGTTTATTTTCTAATCTTGAAAATAGATGAATAGTTTTATTTGATGATGATATAATTATTTCGGAAGAAAATATTCTTAACCTGAAGATGAAGATAACGATAATGATACTGATGAGGATCGTAGCGTTGTTGATACGATGAATCAGTGGAGTTCATCCGCGTTGGGTGTAGGCAGTAACTACCGAAGACAAATGGGTGAGGTCGAGCAAAATTCTTAGAATTCTTAAAATCGGATGCCGGCCTAGTGATCAAGAGGTTAGGTGTTCTCGCGCGGGGTCGAAGGTCCTGTGTTCGAATCCTGCAAGCAGTGGGAGTCGGTGATGTGCACTGCTGATGATGACTAACATACCAGGACGAAACGGCCGTCTTTCAGTGATTCCAGGTTTCTAATGTTTTCAAATATGTAACTTCACAGTCTTCACAACCCTGTAATGCAATTACATGTGCTCACTAGTGACTAGCTCCATGAGGAATCTTCTCCGAGTTCTAGACGGAAGTCATGACCAGTGAAGTTCAACCTGTTTAGGTGTAGACAGTAGTAACTACTGAAGACAAATGGGTGACGTCGCGTGAAATCCTTAGATTGATCAGAGTTGGACGTTGACGCCGTTGGATGCCGGCCTAGTGATCAAGAGGTTGGGCGTTTTTGTGCAAGGTCGAAGGTCCTGGGTTCGAATCCTGCAAGTAGCGAAAGTTATAAATGCGCACTGCTGATGTGTCACA